TACAGTCGGGCTTCTACTGGCCCAAGTTTTGCAAGGATGTTGATACCTTCGTGTGGTAGTGCGATCGTTGTCAGCGATCAGGTAACATCTCTTCCTGTGATGAGATGCCCCAGAAGTTATTTGTGACTTGTGAGATTTTATATGTAAGGGTCATCGACTTCATGGGTCCTTTCCCTCCTTCATTGGGTAATCTATATATTTTGTTGTTGTGGATTATGTCTCGAGGTGGAGAGAAGCTCAGGCCATGCCCACCAATGATGCAAGACAAGTATGCTCGTTTATGAAGTAGCTCTTTTCCCAGTTCGGGACACCTCGAGCCATCATTATCGATAGAGGAACCCATTTTCAAGGGCAATTCACTAAAATCCTCTCTCGCTATGATGTTAAACATAAGGTGTTGATGGCTTACCATCACCAAATTAATGGCCAAGCCAAGTTGACGAACCAAGAATTGAAAAGAATCATTGAAAAAAGGGTAGATCAATCCCACAAAGATTGGTCTACCAAGCTCGATGAAGCTCTATGGGGGTATAGGAGCATACAAGACACCAATTGGTACTTCTCTATAGCGGGTTGTCGATGGAAAGGACTCTCACTTACCCGTCGAGTTAGAGAACAAGGCCTTCTGGGCCCTTAAACTGCTAAACCTTGATCTAAGTCTTGCAGGTATCGAAAGAAAAATGCAGCTTGTGGAGATAGAAGAGTGGCGTTATCATACTTATGAGAACACCATATCGTATAAGGAGCGGACCAAGCGTCTCCACGACGCTCGTCTCAATAGACCAAAGGAGTTTCAGGCGGGCGATTGAGTTCATTTATACAACTCTCGCCTCCGACTTCTTTCAAAAAAGTTGCGCTCCCAGTGGTTTGGACCATTCACGATCACCTAGGTGTTTCCCTATGGCACCACTGAAATAGCTAATCCGCAGACCGAGCCATTCAAGGTGAACGGCCATCGCCTCAAGTTGTATTTGGACAGCGATGTTGAACGAGCAGAGTTAGTGGTTGATCTTGCATACCCTTCTTTCCGCCATCTGCGTCCAGCTATAAGACGGTAAAGAAGCACTTGTGGGGAGACAATCCCACTTCGGTTTGCATTTTCTCCTCCCTTTTCCTTTTCCTTTTGGTTTTTTGTTTTGTGTGTGTCGTGTGTCGAGAATGGAGTTTTGTGGACAATTGTCGTGCCTTGGGGGGTCATTTTCTATGAATTTTTCGATTTCGGGGGTCTGAGAGGTGCTTTTAGACGTCTGGTGTTATTTCTGGCATGTTTGGACGGAAAAAGGCAGAACCATTCCGGCGGTTACTGCCTGGGGTGTGTCGGCAGGGCAGGAATGGGTACCTCCCATCGAGCCGACCTACCCTGCCCCTCCCCATTCTCGACCCGTTCTTGCCTAAATTACATGTAATCTTACTCGAATTACTTAGGATTTTCCTCTTATTACCTCATATTTTAGCTATAATAAAGTTGTAAATAATTGAAAACCTCAATTTCTCCAATAATTTAACTACATTTTATAATATTTGGTTTCTTTCTTGGTCTTTTTAATGAAAATAATGAATATTTCTAATGTTTTTCACATAAATTACATATGCATTGGGTCGACCTGCCTCGACCTGCACCTCATGATAAATTACCTGACCTGGACCCGACCTGCCACGGGGCGAGTATGGGTATCGGGATACTCGTCCAGGAGCTGCCCCATTGCCATTCCTACTCGCCGCCGCCGATCATCGCCGCATTTTTCGCATACTTTCGAGGACTTCCTGACGTTCGATTTCAGAGCCGTTTGTGGCGCCAAAATCCTCTCGTCGAGGATCACACCTCGCCACCGGCCAATTCTCTGTCGCCCCATTTTCTTTGCCACTGGAAATTGCCTCCGGCGAGCCTCCGAGGATGTTTTCCAATTCTAGCTCGTGTGTTCTGTCTCCCATCATCTCCCTCACCTTGCTATCCCACTTGTGTCTCCAGGTTAGTTGATTTTTCTCTGATCCTATGGTTGTGGAGAATTGGATTGTAGGGTGTTAGGGAGATCTTAGCCTCTCTTCACATGATTCGATCGTTTAGGCGGGAGAACATGTCTATGTCTGTGCTTGGTTGCTTGAACTTCCATGTGAGAATGTGCTTTCTATCTTGTTAGTATCCCGATACTGCAGGATTTTATTCTGCAGTATAGTCTGGATTGAGGTATGTGCTTAACTATTTATGCAGGATGATGGTCAACCTGGATCACAACTTCCTGCATGGTCTCCGGTACCACGCGGATTATGATGGGTCATTCGCCAAGATGAGGGAGGCGCATATTGGGGGCCACTACTACCTCAATCTAAGCTACTTTGACCAGTTTCCTCTATCGTGACGCGATTGAGGTGGCAGTCCCTCACCAGCAGTGGCGGCGTTTGGTGGAGCTCCAGGATGATATCTTTGAGGAGCTAACCATCGAGTTTTACAACACTTTCTCCCACACCCGGAGGAAGTTGGATATCAATCCTACTACTTTCACGTTTCGGCTCGGTGGCCAGCACCACAGTCTTTCCTATGACGAGTTCGCTGCAGCTGTGGGCATGGAACCTACTACCATGACCCATTTCAGACCTACCCTATCATAGGAGGACTTCCAGGCCTTCTACTAGAGGAGTTGCCTGCACCCACACCAGCACGTTGTGGTACCTTATACGCATAGCATGACGGTCCACTCAGTTCCAGACTCCGTGGTGATTCCTCTAGGCCCTGCTTACCCACTCCCTCATCCCCAGCCTTGAGGCTTCAGTGCAGGTAACCATGAGGCATATGTACACTCTAGTCACCATGTCTCACCCTTTGGCCAGCATCCACCTTGGATCTGTGATAGCCATCTCATTCTCTCGAGTGAAGGGGCACTTGAAGGTGCTGTCGATGCACAGTGGGCCTTACATCACTCGGCTGGCCCGATACTTCGGCATCCCGCTTGATGGCTTCCGTTGGTTTGAGAGCACCTAGGACTTTCCCGATTAGACATTGTGCTCCATGGGGCTAATATGCGTCGCTCGGACTGATCCCCGGATCCGATGGCTCAAGAGCCTGCGCCCTGCTGAGTTCGACGAGGCGGCCGAGGCCGATGCTGCTGCCGGTCGAGCTCCACCACACCAACCTGAGATGGACCCCCTACAGTTCCACCCCAGCCCCTCCAGTTCCGGTTCTTACTAGAGAACCTATGCTAGAAAGTCGATGTTGACACCACCTAGACCTTCTGGCACCCTTCTCTTGACCATGATGATGGCAAGGATGATTGAGACTGCCATTTGACCATGGGCTCTATGTGTTATGTTTTGTATTTTCGTATTTGTGAGTCGAACTGGTTTCTTTTGTGTTTTGTTTTTCTTTTCATCCTTTTGAGGCCATGGGGATGACCACTGTTATCCTAACTCTTACCCAGAGTGAGTGGTTGTTTTTTACTTGCCATGATTCTCAGAGACTGGTCCCTCTTCCAGTCTGCTCATGATGACTGGTACCGTCTCTAGTCCCACTACAATCCATTTTTCCCGGTAACATTGTTCCCCTTATCTTTCCCTCTTCTCCATTGAGAGCTTTGTCGATCTTAAGTATGAGGGTGTTTATCTTTGACTGCTTAGAAGATGCGTTTGTGTGCTTGGAGCCTAGTACACTGTCCAAATTTTACGATTTGAGGGCTCCAAGTACGTGCTCCTTGCAAATTCCTCCTCAACATGCTTTGAATTGATAGGCTTTATATTAGTATGCCACCTAGGGTGGTGTGTAGCACTATGGAGGATGCTGATGCATTTATAAGTCTCCTTTCTTCTTCATATTAGTGATCTTAGGACACTTGAATCGTGTGGTATCAATGACTTTTTACCTATCATTGACTCCTGCATCATGTTTTGAAAAATAAAAAAGGTGTTCTAAACTGTGCTTTTAAATAATGTATCACGTTTGGAAATCGGTGAAAGTGTGTGTAAGGGGAGACGGGAATCCACTCCCAACTTCCACCTACTACCTCCACCCCCCTTACACCTTTGGCCCCGCACGAGGCTTGAGACATCTACTCTCGGCATCGCCGGTAAGAGCCGTTCCCGGCATGGCTGGTAAGAGCCGGGCTCTCTCAAAACCTTTGCTAGCTGGGAGCCCAATTTTCTGCAAATGACATGTTGGAACCCATGCAATATAAGAAAAAAATGAACAAACAACAAAATGAAAAAAGGGTTCCAACCATATTCAAAGAAAAAAAAAAGCACCTAAGAAGTTGAGTCCATTATTTTATGTTTTTTCAAGTCGCTTTATCCACGGATCATTTTTCCTAAGACCACTACTTGGCATGATCCCGATTCGGGAGTAGAGTTCTTGCAAAGAAGCTAGAAGGTGTCTTGTGCACTGGTTGACCTCGTAAGCTGCTAAATGACCTAGGACATCCTCTATAGACGATCGAGGTTTCATGTTGCTGTAAAGGTCTGGAGAGTTGCATTGGTTTGAGTTAAGTTTGCTTGGAGACAAGCAAACGGTTAACTGTGGGAGAATTTAATAACACCATATTTGGACATGTTTTTCTCGTCATTTCTTGATCGTTTGAGCTTGCTTTCTCGCTGTCGTGGCCTATTTACGCTAGGTTGTGTTGGCTTATGATGTTTTGGGTCCTAGTACGTGAAAAGGTGCGAAGGAGCAGGTATTAAGGCTGCCTCTCCAATTCAGGAGCAGAACTTTGCTTGGCAATCCACTCAAGAAAGGTCAGAGAATCCACTAAAAAGTGGTCAAGATACGCGATAATTCATTCTATTAAGGCAAAATACATTTGGGTAGCCAAAACTTTCACGCTTGTTACAATAATAGCCACTTTTCGAGAAATACAGAAAATAGCCAGAAATTTGAATGTTGCATGACAAATATAGCCATTTCCGTTATAAACTTTAACGGCGTCAGAAAAACCGTCAGTTATCTTAACGGTGTGCTTACTGAGATGTCAAATCATCGTACACGTAATCGACAACTCAGACTCAATGGACACGTGAATGACATGTCATATTTTATATTAAAACATTTAATTATTTGTGTAAAAAATAAAAATATATATCTAAAATGCTTCCTACTTCCCTCTCGACCTCCATCTTCTTCCTCTTCCCTTTCCCCAACATAATGAGCCACCGCCCTTCTCCCTCCCTCAGATTGCAGTCCATCCACCGCTAAACCCAGAACCCTTCTTCCCTCTTCACCCGACCAAGAAAACCCCCATGGACTAGTAGCTTGGAAAGCGTAAACTACGAGAATGGATCTGGACTCTGATTGACCGCCGACAAAGTGGAATCAAAGATAGATTTAGCAGGCAAAATCAGAGGAAAGATCACGAATGGCACCGCCGCTGCCGAGCTAACAACGGTGAGCGATTGGAAGTCTTCTATTGTTCTGGGCGGCACCGCGTCGAGCTCGGGATCGATGTCGGATTTACCAACGAAGCTATACCTCTCCGACAGAAGAGGTGGGTGCGGAGAGCGAGCTCGAATCGCCGAATCTGGAGGGAGCGCACGGTGGAAGATGGCGGCCAGATCCATCCCTGTCGTGACCAGATTTTAGACTGAATTTGCGACCCACCACTGTTGTCGTCGGGGCTTCTCCTTTTGCGATTGGAACGGGCAGAGTGATGGAGTGAGACAGCGATTGGGACAACGATGATAAATCGCTCGACATTTTGATACTGAACGACCTTCTTTGTTGCGTCGTCTTCCTAGAGCTTCGGGTGTTGATGCGGAAGGAAATCGACGACGACGCTGAAAAGAAGCTTTTCGGAATAGTGTTGGAGAAGAGTAAACCAGAGAGGAGGAGTGGTGAATAAATGATTCTTTTTTGTTTTTTAATAATTTTTTATTTAACAATAAAAATAAATGAATAAAATTTGATTGATTTCCACCTCATATTAGTTTTGAATAAAATATATCATGTCCACTGCCGCTAGTCCAGTCAGCACGTTAAGTTACACCATCAAAGAATTGGACGGAAGTGCCTATTTTTGGTATTTCACCAAAAGTGATAAAATTTGACAAAACCGTCAAAGTTTTGACTATACAAGTGTATTTTGCCTTCTATTTAAATCTGACGATGTTTTTTAATGAGTTATCAGCTTGTCCCGCAAGAAATATAATTCTATTCTAACACCAATCCCTCGGACAATAAAACCCTTCCTATTAAAGAAATAACAAAGCTACGTTTATCAAGATACAAGAGACAAACTCGTTACCTGTGCAGTGGTTCGAGGTACATAAACAGAACGAGAGCCTTTATTCTCCTTCGCAGTGAAGTACAAGTTGTCTCTTGTTAGCAAAAGATGTGCACAGTAACTCTCAAGGGGATCCGCACTACCAAACATCATCTGCAGGGTAAGCTATAATCATTAAAAAGAAATTAAAAGAAGTACAAGAACCACTTTCAGAAAAAGTACCTGGGATAGTTCTTCTGCTGTCACGGACTTATTATTTTCAAGAAGCTCAACCCAAGAAAACTCGAGAAGTGATGGACCCTGCACCATGGAAGTATCCACTTAATCGTCTACATCAGGAAATTAAAAAAAAAAAGTAAAAGCCAAAAAAATTCTCTAAATACAGTACTTATAAACTTATTCCCCAAAATACAGCAGTTTCAACATCACTATTGTAGACCAAGACAATGATTGAAATCATCGTTTTTGACCAAAACGGTGATAGCATCATCGCTTTCAACTAAAACAGTGATGCTATCACCATTTTGGACAAAAACGGTGATGATATCCCCGCTCTTGTTAAAAGCGATGATGCTGAGACCGTTGATTTGAGAAACGGTGAAGCCACTATCACCGTTAATGGGGAAAACAATGAAGAGGGCGCGGATCGCTGACGTGGTCGTGCGCGGGCACTTCACCGCCATAGAGAAAAGCGGTGATAGCCCCGCCCCGCCACGTCATCAATCCGCGTCGTCCACGCCCTTCACCGCTGTCGTTCAATGCGGTGAGGCGCGGATTGTGGTTTTTCTCCACGATCCGACGCCTCACGCCTCGTCACGTCAGCAATCCGCGCATCACTGCCCTCCTCAATGGCGGTGAATTCACTGCTTTCGACGAAAGCGGTGATTGGCTGAGGGAAATTTCCAGCGCCCCCTTCCCCCTATAAATACCACTCCCCCCCCCCCCCTCATTCCAAACCACACCACCATTTTATACTTCTTTCTCCCTCCATTACTTCACTCTAGTTTCGTTGTAAGTATGCTCTGTGGTTGCGGCTAAGTCCGATCTTCCGCATCAGAAAGAATTACTAGAGTTTTTGTTTTGTCGATACTCTCGCTAGCTTTTCGGCAAAAAATGGACGAAGAGGATTTGAGATTACGTAAATTTATTTTATTCTTTTGTGATTTTTTTTTTACATGGGTGCTAAAATTTAAATTGATTTGATTTCATATTTTTTTATAGATGGGTGCTGAGATATACGACCCTCGATTGTATATCGATCCTGGCCCAAGGGATCGAAGGTATTTAACCGGGCAAGATCAACATTGCTCCCGTTCAATTTGGAACAATAATCCGGTAGACACACTAAAATTATTTCAATAGTTTTAAAGTTTTTATTTTGCTTTCTATTGACTGACAATATTGTGTTTTTTTTTGTACGAATCACTTATTACCATCAGTCATCGAGGGACATGTCGATTGCCCCGTTGGCATGATCGACTGCAGCCCAATCTAGAGAGGACGGGATTGCACATGCTGAGGCACTTTATGAGGCTTGATATTGACAACGATCTGCTGACGGCAATGGCAGAGCGATGGCGCCCCGAGCTGCATACCTTCCACTTTCCCGAGGGTGAAATGAAGATCACCCTCAAAGATGTTGCCATCCTCACCGGGCTCCCGATCACCGGAGATGCCATCATCGACAACTCGAGAAAACCGGAAGATGGTTGGGGGCCGTTGATTCAAGAGCGTTTGGGGTTCAACATGCCGACCACCACGCCCGTCGACGGGGTTGGGCATCCACCACTGAATGCGGGGCAAGTATCGATCCCGTGGCTTGTTGACCACATCCAAATGGAGGTTAATATAGGCCTGGACACTCCTGAAGATCAGGTGGAGCGGTATGCACGTGTCTACCTAATTGGCTTGGTTGGTGGGTTTCTGTTCCCCGACAAGTCAAACCGGGTGGATACAAGGCATGTGGTTACATATGCTCCTCGGTGACTGGGACGAGATCGGGAAAAAAAGTTGGGGGTCGGCCGTCTTGGCTGGGATCTACCGAGAGTTGTGTACTTGCCCGAGGTTGGGAGCGAAACAAGCTGGTGGTGCGATGTTCATACTCCAACTCTGGGCATGGGAGCATCTTCCGTTTTTAGCACCTCGAGACCCTCCGGAATTCTGGTTGCCAGATGATGAACTACGATTTGTAGCAAATCCCCCATATGGTTTCAAGTAAGTTTAATTTAAGTTTAATTTATTTTAGATATGCAATGGTAGTATTTTAGTGAATTTAGATCTATTCCAAGTAAGCGAATTTAGTGACATTTTAAGTCTTCAATTATAGTATTTTAGTGAACTTAGATATCTTTCAAGTAAGCAAATTTAGTGACATTTTAGGTATGCAATTATTGTATTTTAGTGAATTTAGATATCTTCCAAGTGAGCGAATTTAGATTTATTCTAACCAAATTGTATTTAGCTAATTTAGATTATTGCCAAGTAAGGAATTTTAGTTCAATTTCGATGCTTCCATACAATCATACTTAACAAGTAAACATCTATGCCATAAAAATTGCTTATATACGTAATTTTGCTTAATTAGGTGGATCAGAGCAAATACAAACGACCACCAGCCCGAACACTCTTTGCTGTTTTATCGTGCTGAATTTGATAAGCCTTGGTGGAACCAGGTAAAAATATAAAATTTCATCATTTTCAATTTTTTAGGTGGAGTGGATATAATTTGTACTAATTCCATGAACTATAATGATTGTAGGCGGTATGGGATCCATATCCAAATGAAGTGGTTGAGTTGCATCGTCTTAGACATCCCGAGGATCAAGAGATATGGTTGTGCAAGGTGCCCTTAATCTGCTGGCACATGGTGGAATGGCACCTGCCCGATCGATCTTTGAGGCAATATCGATTGGAGCAACCAATTCCAGCATCCCCACCTCAAGGGTTCAGGGAGCTCAACGCCATTGACCTACGCTACACCAAAAAGGATTGGGTCCGCAAGCATGAATTCTACATCAACATATGAGAGAATAGAAATCAGTGGGTGGTCCAAGGGTTGCCGGAGATGAGGCCAATGGGGTACCACGATGGCTACATGCAGTGGTATCGAAATTTCACGCTAGTATGGGTGTCAAAGCAAGGTGCTGTTTGGGGCGCAGTGGTAAGTGAATTCCATTTTGTCCTCTTTGTCTAAATTTTTTGTAGTATGATTACATGCCATTGCATGTGCTAGAATGTTAATTAACATTATTAGATTTAAGGATGCCTCTTTGTCTTAATGTTAGTTAATTTTGTACAACAATTTATTAGGTTGACGGTTTGGAACATGCCAAGCACACTGTCGAGAGTGCACCCACCATGGATGAGCGGAAGACACCTTTTTTGCACAGGCTTTTCAACAACCTGCTCTGTTGTACCCGAGAGCAAAGGAGGGATGTCGTATTATACCCTCCAATGCCTGAACCGGCCCGACCTTCATTCCGTGCTGATGAGAGGATCGTGCCCCCACGGTGAGAGAAAACATTGAAGAGCTTCGTCCGTCTCAACAAACTCAACTTCCTGAACCATGGCCACATTGTGAGTGGGCAACTAGTACTGAGGGCACCGGAGGGTCGTCAAGATATGCCCCGACTCAGGAACATGACATGTTCACCCAAGGCACCCCTCACTTCCACCATCAGCCACAAACTGCTCAGTATCAGACCCCGCAACAACAACATACATCATCGACTTTCCACCACGCTTCTGGTTCATCTCAGCCATATCCACCCCCACCACCTGTCTACACTCCGGTGGGTGGTCGGGTTAAGAGGAATCCGCGAGCAGTTGTCCAGCGGGCTCGTGAAGAAGGAGGAGGTAGAGAAGGCGGAAGAAGGGGTCGAGGAGGTCGTGGAGGAAGAGGAAGAGGAAGAGAAGGGGAAGTGGAGGGAAATGAAGACAACCAATGAACTATCTATGTCGTCCTAATTTAGTTTGAGGTTGTGTTGTTTTCCATGAACTATCTATGTCGTCTTAATTGGGTTTGGGGTTGTGTTGTTTTCCATGAACTATCTATGTCGTCTTAATTTGGTTTGGGATTGTGTTGTTTTCCATGAATTATCTATGTCATCTTAATTTAGTTTGGGATTGTGTTGTTTTACCCCCCATATTGTACCAAAGTAAACAACAGACACCCTTCATTACAATCACTCAATAAGATTAAAACAAGAAGTCCAACTTAAACATCACAACAACGAAAATGACAAGGAAGTGAACAATAGAGTACTCAAGGTTGGTTCGGAATTGGCCCCGAATCTTGCTCTAGAGGTGGACCTGGGCAATGCCTCTTGTCATGACCCGGTTGTCTGCACTTTGAGCAACGCTTTGGACCTCGTCAGGCACGTTGTGATTGATCCATTTCATTGTAAATCCTTTCGGTCCTAGGACGACCTTTGGTGCGCTTTAAGTGCAACGGTGGGATAATCAACTTCCCATTGTCTACAGACCGATAAGCTTCATCCGGCAGGGGGCTGAAACTTGATGAGTAGGAGTTCCTGATCGCTTGTTCCGTATAGTAAGGACTAACCAAACTGTAACCGCTGAGGGTTATCGACTTAGCTACTGTCATTGCATGTGAACAAGGTACTCTTCTGTTTTGATACTTTTGGAATGTACACTCTCCGGTGCGAGTTTCTACGTGTAGAGTAACGGCTTGACGATTATGCCCACGTCTTCCTCCACCCCATATACGTGTTTGCACAGCAAAAATACCTTCATTGCGGTTGAACAGAACAACTCTGTGCTTACTTGATTTCTCTTCGATCTTCTGCATGCCATCAAATATATGATGTGCTATTGAATGACCAGCACGCTCCCTCCCTATAACGAGCTCCCGTCTCTTCACAAACCACTCGTTTACCTTCCAGTATGTCATCTCCACTAGGACAGATACAGGCATTGCCCTAATGCCCTTGTAGACTCCATTTATGCTCTCGCCATGGTTGGTAGTTGCAATGCCGAATCTAGCCCCGTTGTCCATGTGAAATGTCCACATGTGCAGATCTTGACCTTCTGCCCATATTGCTCCCGCCCGGTGTATCTGACGGATCATCTTCATCTTCTGCTCGTACTTTTTTAGTTGATGTGCAACCGCTACAAGACCAGAGAATAAATAATTAAGCCATAAGAAATTTCATTTCAACAATAAACCATGAACAAGCACAGAATTACATTACTACCTGCACTCCACAATTGATCTCTTATGTCTTTCTTCTTGCCAAATTTGTGTTGGAAATTGTCAAGGAAGTGACGAATACACCAGCGCCATGTCCATCCCCATTCGTCGGGAAAACCACCGACGGCGTGTTTAATCCCGGCATGTCAATCCGATATAATTGTAATACCCATTCTTTGTGTGACATGGGCGTGTAGCTGGTCAAAGAACCATGCCAAACTTAAGTTGTTCTCCCCTTAAACTAATGCAAATGCTAAGGGGAAAATACTTAAATTTCCAACAACCCCAGTTGCAATGAGAAGAGTTCCTTTATACTTCCCAGTAAGGAAAGTTCCATCAACCTGTTAAAAATGAATAATTAGTTAGTAAAAATTTAACTTAGTAAGGTAATGAACTAGTACAATATTTTGAGTACGTAATATACCTAAATCACTGGCATGCAGAAGGGAAACCCGTCAATGCATGGCTTGAATGTCCAGAACAGACGATAAAACATCAACTCGTTCAGTACTCGAACTTGATCTTCAGTTTGCACGTTGTTGTACCACGGCACGAAAACCGTCCCAGGGTTGGACTCCTCCATTGCGGACATTAGTCAAGGGAGTAAAGCATACGAGTCATCCCAATCACCGTAGACCTCAGCCATGGCCTTCTGCTTCCCATGCCACGCCTTCTTATACCTTATGGTGTAGGAATGTCTATCCTTCACCTCGGCCATAATAGCTTTTATCTTGATATCTGGTTGTGCCTCGATTAGGTGTTTAATGGTTCTCGCCACCTTTTTTGCTTTAAGTTGCCGGTGATCCTGTGAAAGTATGGTTGAGGAGCATCTGTGGTTGTTCTCTACTGTTCGCATGACCCAGACGCCCTTTCTCTTCATATATGAAGCCCGAAGTTGCCATATACAACCCTCTCCAGCATTCTTACAAATGACATGCAGTTGTTTGGTGTCAGAATATTTTACCTTCCATTCGAAGTTACGCGGCATGGCTTCTTCGCTAAAAGCATCTTGCACATCGGCTTTCGAAGTGAACGCCATACCCACTTCCAAATTAGCAGTCGGATTATACACAGGCATGGGCCGAAAGTCAGGGGCATCGTTCTGACCATATAAAAATTGATCAGGAACCTCTGTGTAGTAAGGCGTTGGTGCCTGACGGAACGCCACCTCTCTGTCATCGATATCGTCGATATCGTCCGTATCTTCCTCCTCACTGACTGATCTCAAATCTTCCTCACTTTCATCGTCACTAGAGGCGAATGGATAGCTCGACTCAGGATGGTCATCGTTACAAGCATAACCAACATCGTCTTGTTGGTCATGCGAAGTACGCCCAGATCGAAGGGTGTTCTCAATGTCAGCCCACTCTGGACCCCAAGCAGGCCATGAATCACCGTCGGGCTGAACGATATTGACGGCAGTCTCAGCATGTTGCAGGTATTCTTCCCACCCAACACGTCCTTCATAACTACCTCCTCCGTAGTTGCTTGAAGTACCACCCCAGCCATACCCTCCTGCAGAAGTACCTCCTCCGTAGTTACTTGAACTACCACCCCAACCATACCTTCCTGCAAAACCATCATCACAAGAATACTGGTGAGAATGAGTTTCACCGACCGGCTCGGTCTCGACATACACCTCTGCAAGCCGCACCCCGTTGTCAGATAGGAACTGTATCATCATGTTCACCGAGTCATCATCATTTATGACAACTTTTTCGTACATGATTCCGCCAGCACTCATGTTTGGATAGTGGTAAGCAATTTGACCAACTCTCCTTTGCCCGGCCGTACAAGTCCTTTCTGCACAAATGTCATGGAGTTCTTGCCACGAGAATCTCGACTCAATTTTTAGCATAGTGGATTCGCCATTTTCATAGTCGATCCCAATGTTCGAGTTTGTCACCCGACCATTCCACCGAATAATAAGTCGAAACTTCTTAAATTTACCCATGTCTGCAATTTATAATAATTAAGTATAGTATATAATTAGTACATTAGGGATACAAAAACAATATCATCCAAACCCATAAACAAACGCATGTAATTGATCTATCATGAAAAAACTAAGCAAATTCATCTAAATTCATAACTAACTAACTAACTAACTAACTAACTAACATCTATCATATCATAGTTAATCTAAATATATCATAACATATTTTCCAATAACCGCAATTCACTAAATACAGACATATAATTACTAACACGTCAACATGTAAACAATACATAATTATAACATACCGACTCCCGATCTATCATGAGAAAACTAAACAAATTCATCTAAATTCAGTACTAACTAACTAACATCTATCATATCATAATTAATCTAAATATATCATAACATATTTTCCAATAACCGCAATTCACTAAATACAGACATATAAATTACTAACACATCAACATGTAAACATTACATAATTATAACATACCGAATCCCGACGAGTTTCTTGAGCAGTAAACCAACTCCAAACCAGCTGAGAAAACGACTAATAAAACACTAATTTTTGTACTAATTTTCTGTAAGGTAGCAAGAGGGGAAGTGGTGCTCAGTATTTATAGGAAAAAATGGCAGCTAATCACCGATGTGGACAATTGCGGTGAACACATCACTGCTTTTGTCCAAAGAGGTGATAGCTAGGTCGCTGTGACCTAATTTCCCACCTACCAGGGCTCTAAAACATGGTCAATTATTACCGTTTTGGTCCATGGCGATGATGTGATCGTTTTTGTCGACGGCGATGATGTGGTCTATTATCACCGTTTCCCACAAGCGCGGGGAATTCATCACCGTTTTAGTCCAAAACGGTGATAGCATCACTGTTTTGGTTGAAAGCAGTGATTGCAATCACTGTCTTGGTCTACAACAGTGATGTTGAAACTGCTGTATTTTGGGAAATAAGTTTATAAGTACTGTATTTAGGGAATTTTTTTTAATAATTAGAGTATTTTGGGATTTTTCCCCAGAATTGAAATAGCCTTTCACTAACCAAGTCATCTTCAGCTTTCTTTATAAAGCTAGAGATTTCTGTTTGATCAAAATTTTCAACCCCGGGGATAATGTACGTAATCTTCTGGGGTTTAATCGAAGAGATAACTCCATTCTGTAGCAGGAAAACGAAAAGGATCAATTATTAGGAAACTAGAAGCATCATTGCTAGCTAATCACACAATTGAAAGAATGACTGATGAACTCCGACACCTAGCAACCTAGTCAAGATACTTGTTGCTTGTAGAAGAACCTGATCGTACACCATCCAATTCTTCTTGCCGGCCATCTGGTTTCTGTGCCAGTGCCAGGAGTAACCTGTCCGAATCCTTCTTGAACTCCAGCAGCAATCCCTCCGCCAGTGTTATGCTTCCAGGCTTATAATCCAGAAGCTCTCCAGTGCTCGTCAATCTGCAGGGTAAGTTCTCGACTGTTTATCATTCAGACTATGAATTCTGCAGGGTAACCAATGGTGACAGTTCACAGTTACTGAGCTTACTTCACGACAGCAGCTGGACCTTTCCTGCGTCTGCCGTAGGAAGAGAGCTCTTCCATGGCGCTTTCAAGGAGACTGTGGAAGAGGCAACTTCGAAAGCCTCCATGACCGAAGTTCACCAGCTCGCAGCGAAGTACCGGGAACCGCAACCGTAACTGCAATCCGCAGCCGCGGGAGAAGTCCGAGTCCCTGAAGGGGTTGAAACGGCAACGGAAAGAGGAGAGCGGCGGCGGAGGACCGGTGCAAAGAAGATAGCAGGTGTTAACAGCTCGAACGGTCATCATTTCGCAGCGGAGAAGGGGAAGAGGCTCAGGAGATTGTTGAATTCATCCGAGGATTTGAATTGCTGGAAGATAAAATGAAGATTAAATGTCTTATTGCTTCTGTTGGGTCAATGGTCCGAATTCCGGAGGACAAAGAGTGTGCTCACCATTGCCGAAGCTCGGTCTGGGAATTTCTCGTTCAAGAAGAACCCGATCAACGGCCCCGAACTTTATCCAGCCAACGTATTGGGCCAGATTCATTCCCGTGGTCCTTCACATAAATGGGCCTTCAGTTCATGTTGTTCTAACTTTTGGGTTGCAAAACTGCGAAATGCACCAATGAGACCAAAGGTTGTGAAGCTGAAAGTGGTAGAAGTAAGGTCTTGCCAAAGGTTTGAAGACAGCTCCCGACTTGTCTCAGTATAGAGTATTTCAATCTCCAGCAGTGCTATTGTTTGAAGGAATGGCAATGGGGCGGGGTTATGTCAAACTCAAATCCAAAACTATGGGTTTATTCACTAAAATTTTTGGCGTAAAATCCACAGAATTTGGAAAACTCAAACCCAACTCAATTTGTTGGGTGTCCGCGGGTTGATGGGTACCCATGGGTTAATGTACAAAGATGCAATTACACTAGTTTTCACTACAATTGTCTACTACATACACACTAACTCACAAATCACTAATACTAATTGTTTAATTTTAAAGATAAACATCCACAAACAATATGATTAATTAAACGTGTGAGGAATTAGTTTAGAAATTATAGTTAATTAGTTAAGGGTTTCGTGGGTCGTGGGGAGTATGGACTTGGGTGCGGGTATCCACGGGTTGGATATGGCTAAACCCAAACTCAACCCAACCCACAAAAAGTATAGTGGGTTTTACCCGAGTTGGGTCGAGTAGGGTAACCCGCAGATCCGGGTTCTACTGTCATCCCTAGTTTGAACAAGGGGGAATTGCGTGTTGGTAATTTTGAGAATTTGAAAGTGCTGAATGTCGGCTTTTCTAAAATAATCAAGGTTGTTTGCTTGAGAGATTTGATGATGGATCAGGTGATATCATGGATTTTCTCCAAATTATATTGTTTGTTTGATGTATTTAGGGGCAACAAATTCGTGGGTCTCATGAACTTTAAGGGTCCAAATTCGTGGGGTTAACAGACTTGAAAGTTCCACCATTTTAAGTGAGAATTGATCAAGGACTTCCAAGTCCATCATTTATGACCAATTTGTCTTTCCTATTTCCTTTCTCTTCCCATATCAATGAGGACAATATGGGTCAATCTCACTTATACATACAAATCTAATTAACCAAATCCATCATGAAATCTATGAAACAAACAATGTTATTTTTCAAGTCCATAATGCACCCAAAACCCTCATATATGATATATCCATGGTTTTAGAAAACCCAAGTTAACATAAAACATTGGAAAGAAAAAAAAAAGTTGTCAAACTTTCATTCCAATTTTATCGGATGTCCCCAAAGGGGGAAAAAAGTTGCCAAACTTTGACCTATTATGTGGGTGAAGCTATTGGCATGGTTTAATCAATCAATTTTATGTCAATTATGTCAGTTTTACTAAAATACATGAAAAAGTGGAATATCATTAACACTAAATAAATTAGTTAAAAAAACATTTAAAAGATTTAATTCACATAATATAATTAATAGTAAGGAATTGGTACCTCATAATACAAAAAGAACAGTAAAAATAAAACTATATAAAATGAATTTTATTAATATTTACAATAATATATATATAATCTAACATTAGTTATATAATATATATAAGGTTAATATATAGAGCTAATTCCACTTAGGGTTGTTAATGAACCAAACCACTTATAAACGACTCAGCGTCTTACTCGAGAAAAATTAGTTCAACGCTCAAGTCGTCTTAATCGAGCTGGCTCGTGAACAAGCTCGTTAACTAAACAAGCCGACCTGGACCATACCATGTTCGACTTGAAAGCTCGCGAACAAGCTCATTTAACGGCTTGAAAGTATGAAATTGTACCTAGTTTAATCGCCCGGTATGGAATTAGTTACAACCATGCCACTAACACTAGGTTAGTGTGGTGCTAAGAGTGGTGTTAATGTCAAGGGATCATATACATTAAGATAGTCTATTCTAATGGTATCAAAAACACATTAAATATTTTTTGCATCAACATTTTATTTTATCCTTACTTATATTAAGGTGGTTGTTGAGAAACTTATTTGGTTCAAATCATGTGCTTAAACTTTGGTCAAATTGGACTCTGATTCTGGTCTTTAGCTAACTGATTCTTTTGTTTGGCAGGTACATGGCTCATGGTCTTTCTCATGTTGGGCCGGGTTTAATTCATCACTTTTAGATAGAAAATGTTCTTTCTTTCAAATTGTATTGAGGATTGTATGTGTAAATTAAACTCTTTGTAGTGATGTCTGATGATTGTGTTGATATTCTTTTAGCCTTTAACATCGAGCTTTGAATACTTCTCTAACACGAATCCCTAACCATGACCCATATCGTTCCTCGATTTGGTTGCACCAAGTTTACTGTGGCACACGTCTCGATTAGAAGTGCAGTTTGATGTTCCCATGATAGATATCAGACCGGAAAAATTGTGGTGTCTACAGTATGGATCCTCCCAGAAATAGTACTTCAGGTCGGAGAAAATTTGCACTTAGAGTGAGTGGCCATCCCCTTAGGTAACTGCTTGCCCACCAGATAATTAGCAAGATAAGAGTACCAAATGGTGACACTCTCCACCAAGCACAGGGCCAGTAGTCGCTCATCCGCGAAGGATTCGTTGATCTCTTCCACGAAGTTTTCCATCGGAGAGGCTTCCATCGGAGAGGCTTCCCGAATCTTGATATCAAACTCCTGTAGCAGCAGGATCTAGCGGATGAGCCGAGGCTTGGCATCAGCCTTGGTCATCAAGCAGCATATGCAAGAGTGGTCTGTATAGACCACGATATGAGAGACACCAAGTATGGTCCGAACTTGTCGAAAGCTTACACCCTTGCAAGCAAATCCTTTTTTGTGGCGATGCTGGAAATGCTTATTGCGACTCTGACTAAGAACATCTACGACAGTATAGTCACTCGCGTCACACATCAACACAAATGGAAGAGACCAATCTGGAGTCACCATGATGGGTGCATGGGTAAGCTTCTCCTTCAAGGTCTTGAATGCAGCTGCGCACTCTGAAGTGAAGTTGAGTGGTGCGTCTTTCTCTAGCATCTTGGTCAACGGCAAGACTATCTTCATGAAATCCTTGATGAAGCGCCAGTAGAATCCTGCATGACCTAGAAAACTGCGGATCCCCTTCACAAAAACAGGAGGAGGTAGCTTGATGATCGTCTCTATTTTTGTGTGATCTACCTCAATCCCCTGCTTGGAGATCTTGTGCTCAACCACAATGCCTTCGCGAACCATGAAGTAGCACTTTCTCTCAACTAAGTGCCAAGTTCGTCTCCTCGCACCTCGTCAGGACAAGTTCTAGGTCATGAAGACTTCCATAATCTCTCCAATCATTCGGTGAAAGATAGCCAACATGCACCGCTGAAAGGTAGTTGGTGCGTTGCAAAGACCAAATGGAATCCGTCATAAGCAAACGTGTCGAAAGGGAAGGTGAAAGTGGTCTTTGCCTGATCCTCCGGTACGATCGGGATCTGGAAATACCTGGACATTCCATCCAAGAAGCCGTAGAACTCATGTCCTACCAACCTCTCCAGCATCTGGTCACTGAAAGGAAGCGGGAAGTGGTCCTTTATGGTGGCATCGTTGAGACACGGATAGTCGATGCAGACAAGCCACCCGATAACCATCCGCATCGGGATCAACTCGTTCTTCTTGTTTGGGACCACAATTATCACGCCTTTCTTCGTAACCACCTGAGTGAGGCTGATCCACTTGTTATAAGATATAGCAAAAATGATCCCGACATCCATCAGTTTCACAATCTCTACCCGGACCATGCCTCTATGTTAGGAGTCAACCTCCGCTGCGATTTCCGGACTGGCTTAACCTCATCCTCCATCAGAATTCTGTGGGAACAGAAGGATGGGCTAATGCCTATGATATCCGTGATCTTCCATGCCATGGCACGAACGTACTTCTTCAATAGAGCCACCAAACTCCTCTTTTGCGCGGGGTCAGTTCCGAGCTGGTAATGAACGAGAGCTTATTCCCCTCCTAGAGAAATGCATACTCCAGATGGTCACGGATTATCTCACACAAAAATTTAAACCCGAACCATGCCACGGTGACTACCAACCACCACTCAATCAAACATTTCTCATCATTCAACAATTAGCACTTGGTGGGAAAATTTCGCAAATATAGGAAATTCGGATTAAAACATGCCCACCAAGGCTCAAATAAGCTCAAGCAACAACATTCCACCATTCAATCACCCTAATTCACCCAATTCCTCGACCTAATTCTAATTTCAACATGCAATTCACTAAAATTTTCCTCACTTCACTACCTAATCTTATTCTCCCAAAGTTAATAAGAAAGAGCTGAAAACCAACCTGGAGACTCAAGTGGGATGTAGGAAGAAGTGAGGTGAGGGCGAGGACAGTGAAAATTGGCCGAAAAATAGACCGTATAAGGGTCGCCAGAGCTTCGTCGGAGGCAACTTCGCCAAAAAAATGGGCTCCAAATCTCCCCAAAATCTCGGCGAAGGCCGCTTTTGATATGGGGAGAATGGGTCTATGCTTGGTTTTGTTTTTTGCTCTCCGGAAATGGTGGAAATGGCCAAAAAAGTCAGAATTTCCAGGTTTTCCAGCGAGATTTGAATTTTCCAGCGAGTTTTGGGTCGTGAAGTGAAGAGTCAACGTTCATGCCCCCTTTATAGGCGAGGCTTGAAGTTCACGGATGCGTGTGCCATATCTTGTTCTAAAAGCTGTCTTTGAGGTTGCTCCATCTGCCACTTTCAGTTGATGGTATCCCGAACTCAAATCAATCTTAGAAGAGACTGATGCACCCTGCAATTGATCAAACAAGTCATCTATTCTTGGGAGGGGATAACGATTCTTCACTGTTGCTTTATTCAACCTCCGGTAGTCAATGCACATTCTCATGGAGCCATCTTTCTTCTTGACAAACAAAACCGGTGCACCCCAAGGTGAGATGCTAGGTCCAATAAACCCCTTGTCTAGGAATTCTTGCAATTGTTCTTTAAGCTCCTTCAGCTCAATTGGTGCCATTCTATATGGTGCCATTGAAATTGGTGTTGTGTCAGGTACCAATTCAATATCAAACTCTACTTCCCTTTCTGATGGAAGGCCCGGAAGTTCTTCGGGGAATACATCAGGAAACTCCCTTACCACCTCTACATCCTCAACCTTCTTATCATTCACAACAGTAACTTGAGCAAGAAAGGCTTCACAACCTTCCTTCACTAATCGAAAAGCTTCCAAGGCAGAAAGAAAACCATGAGTCTCCTTTTTCTTAATGCCTCGGAATACAACAGGACCTTTATCTGGTGTGTTGAATAACACTTCTTTCTTTTGACAATCCACAACAGCTCCATGTGTTGCCAGAAAGTCCATTCCAAGGATGACATCGAATTCATCAAAAGGTAGCAGAATTAAATCTGCTGCTAGGAAAGCTCCTTCCACACAAATGAAGGAACTTCTAATAACTGAGTCTACCTTCAAGGTATCTCCCACAGGTGTTTTAACACATAAGGTATAACCTAGCTTATCTGGAACTAAGCGTAGCATATGTGCAAATGTATATGACATGAATGAGTGAGAGGAACCAGTATCGATCAAAGCATATAATTGCTTGCCAAGGATAGAAAGCATACCAGTCACAACTTCTGGTGCCACTTCTGCCTCACCTCGAGTCAATGCATAAATCTTCGGTTCTCCCTGTGCTCTGGTACCCTGCGTACCACTTCCTGATGGCTGATTTCGACCACCACCTCTACCACCCTGTGAACCACCACGACCACTCTGAAATCCACTACGGCCTCCCTGGTAACCACCTCTGGCTGGGGCTCTACTAAAGTGTACTGAAGGTTTGGACTGAGTAGGTCTTCATCCTCCCCTATAAGGACAGTTCCTCATGATGTGCCCCGGCTGGCCGCATTGAAAGCATACTCCAGAAAACCTCCAACACTCTCCAAAGTGTCTCTTCTGACAAACTTGACAAACTGGAGCCGGTGTGGCTGAGGAAACTAGTGCCTTGTATGATGTTCCTGACATAGATTGACTCGGTGTTCTCCCAAAACCGCTGGGACCTCTCTTGGATGGGTAACGAGGTCCAGAATAACTCACTCCAAACTTCCTCTTCTTCTCCTCTTCTTTGGCCTTGTGTTCCTCTCTACCCTCAACTTCATAGGCTTCATACTTAAGTGATGCCTCCTTGATAGTTGCCATACTCTCTTCATCAACCCTGTGGATCTTTTCTTTCAACCCTAGGCGCAGACCATGTAAGTATCTCATCTTCTTCTTATGCTCAGTATCCGCCAACCCATCTTCAAAGTAGAGTAGTCGAACAAACTTGATGGTGTACTCAGTAACTGTCATGTTCTCCTGCTTAAGGTTGGCGAATTCATTATTCTTTGCCCTGATAAAAGCTTCGGGAAGAAACTCTGTCTTAAAGGCCTTCAGGAACTCCTCCAGGTGAACTGAACTCGTTTACCATTAACTCTAGAGACTAAGGAACACCAGCTCCTCGCGTACCCCTTCAGGAGAAAAACAACATATTGCACTTTTTCCTCTGGGGTCGCATAAAGATACTCAAACACATCTTCCATCTCTCTCAACCACTCTACTACAGCATCTGGGCTCACATCTCCCTTGAAGTCCCTACTACCCAAACTCTTCATCTTTGCTTAGTCTAATACTGGCGGTCTTGCATCAACCGCCCCCACTCCTCTCGACTGGTCAGTAGGAACATATTCACAACTTCCGTGCGAGCTACAAGGAAATATTGGCCTTAGGTTGATCCACACAAAAATCATTCTTCACCAAATCTCTCACTTGGTTAAAACAAAATTTTCCCAAAATAATTACTTGAAAACAATAAGTTCAAAACTCAATTTGAACCATGATGCAAGTAATTTCATCCAATATACTAATACACATAATCATGTAAAACTCAATTTCCAGTTTAAGTCATAATGGGGTACTCCCCTCCTTAGGAGTGTTTAACCTCCCCTAGGGTATAATACGCCATAACAACAAAAAGAGGGAACCGGGCTCTGATACCAAACTGTAACACCCTACCCAATACGTTTTGCCTAATCATATTGTTCATACAATTGCAGCGGAAATAATCTCGGATGTTACATTAATTATCAAAATTTACCAAAATAAAATTTCGACATGAATTACTCGCGTAGTGGGCTAACAGTTCTTGCAACTTATCCTGCAAAATAATTCATCACAAGCATATATACTCACAACCATATGCATTGGCTTTTCTTAGCCATAGTCACACTTTTCATACTCCATAACTGCATACCATACTTATACATACCATAATCGTCATAACTTACATAGTTACACAACATATACACATATCATCAACTTTCCACACCTGTGGATATCTCACACTGCATCAGAAGCTAGTATGCACATGAAAAACATTCTCTAAACATTTTTACAAAAAGGTGTGGAACATTGGCCAAAATCCCGAGTAGTCGTCCAAGCACAGAATAGTTGAAGACCATACCTCATCCTGGCTTCAACTCTAGCTCTTCTCCCACCTAACACTTATCTACTGCTGCTGCTGATGATCTGCTTACACATACCATAAGCAAAGAAGAAGAATAAAAGAGGGTCAGCTCATAGCTGAGTGAGATAATCATAGCATCGTGAGTTCATAACAGAGCACACCCCTATCATACATCTAACAATCAAGCCAAAACACTAGGATCGGACCTCAGCCATCCTCATATCCCAATAGGCAAAAGACTCAACCACCTTGACTTATGCATATGCATCTTATCATGTTTTAATCATAGGCGCCTGGCTACTCCCATGCTAATTACTCTCCCAGGCATACGAACCAAACATCTCGTGGTAGTGGTCATATCGGACCCACTGTCGGTGTAGTCATATCAGACCTGACACCACTCTGGGTGTGGTCATATCGGACTCAACACCACTCTGGGTGTGGTCATATCTCATGATGAATCAACGGTCAACACCACATCAGGGGTGTGACATAACATATCATAACGGAGTAATAGCATGGGGAGCCCTAATTACTATTTAATGACCATGAGACCAAAGTATTCTTACTTGGTATCCTTATACATGATCCATATCTCATCTTGCTTAATCATAATTCGCTACTTGCACATGTACTTGACCTGGCCCCAATTGACTCAACATAGGTTAATCATGAGTCGTATAATTGCACTTCCTCGGGATAAACCCTCGTGCCAGTCATCCTCCTTAAACGTCATAATATCACCAGGGAATATATATTTTCCCACATGTGCATCCAAATACAACAATCATGAACAATCATACCCAATCACCTTTTCGAACCATCATAAGGCATATCAACAGTCAAGCCCACAATTTGCAACATATACGAAATCATCAGCATAAACAAGGTCCATCTCGATTAGGGCAAGTCAATAATATCATACAGTAGTCCATGGTTCATCATATAGCACAAAAGTTCATACACCCTTAATCATGCCATTCTAGTTCACCTAGGTCAATTCTAAGCATCAATATAATTATCGTGATACGACAAACCCGGTATGCCGTGCTAATCCCTCACCAGTTCTGGTCGTTCAAACACCGGTTCTAGCCTCTCGTACTAAAACGTCAATTTTACGAACGAACCCCGAATTAAAATCCGAGACCGTCCTAATATCCCCTGCAGTATCCCCGTCAATATTAGTTCTAGGCTCCGGATCAAATTCTCGATAAAAACACATCAAACCATGGCCGGAGCTAAATTCAGCGATCACGACTCCGACCTAAATAATAGCCGAAATTCATGGATTAAAACTAGAGGATTGATTACCTCGCTGCAGGAAGCTCGTATATGAAATTTGGGCTTAATCCGGCTTCCGGATACTCCGAAACCCTAATTTGGCTTATCGGGAATTCAAGAAATTCCTGAACCAAAAATTCGTTTTAAAGCTTTAAATCGATAAATCATGATGTATGGATGAATTAGGCATTATTTAGGGATTTTTGGATCACTAGGGCTCAAGAATTTGAGCTTTGAAATTTTTCCAGGAGTTCCCCTGTGCGCGGCTCTGGTCGCTCTGGTTTTTGCTTCTCTCGGTGGAAATAAAAGATGATGGGAATTAAATGGACATGGAACAGAATATATATATACTTATCCGATCGATTGATAATTCGATTTTTGCCGAAATACTATCAAAACGCTCGATTTTAAATCGTGAACTTTCTAGCAATCGAAATACAATTTTAGCCGAAACGGGATGTTACATTGTCAAGCCCCAATCATATCCTTTGAGATCCATATCTTCAAGCAATTCGGTGACTTGAGGAGGGTTCATGTTCATCAACCTCCTTTGTCATAGAGATTCAATGAGGATCTTGTCATCTTGAATGAGTCCTCCATAGAAAGTTTATATCCGAAATTGCTCCTCAAATCCATGGTGAGGGCATTGGAGGAAATAGTCGGAGAACCTTTCTCATGCGTCCCTCAATTTCTCATCCTCCTCTTGCTCAACGTGAGTGATCTTCTTCCTCCACTCGGCCGTCTTGGAAGGAGGACAGTATCGGGGAAAAGCTTCAATCTCAATGCCTCCTTGGGGACGCCATTAATCTTCAAGCTTCCCGCTAGCTCAAGAAACCTTTGGACATGCTCTCGTGGTGATTCATGGGATAGCCCGTGGAAGTAAGCATTTTGTTGAATCATCGTCACGAGAGAGAGGGATTGATGATCTCAAAGTTGTTGGAGGCCACGGGTGGATGGAAGATGGGAGATTGGATATCCGTCGCCCGTGGAGCCATGTAATAGCCCATAGTCCTTGGCCCTTCCTTGGCTTCCGCTTCTCCATTTGGGTTTGGAAGCGGATTAGCCCCTCGGTGTTGATTTGCTGCCATCTCAACTACAACTCCTTCTTCAATTGCTTCAACTTTGGGACCGACTTGTTTTCCCCTTTCTTCACTTCTCCTTTTTGCCTCCGCTTGCTCCCTCTCTCGAGCTAGAAGTCGGAGGGTCCGGTTTATGTCCTCGTCCAGTGGTGTCAAAGGCGCCGGATTGCTCCGGATCATGCACCTCCCTACACACACTCAAGGAACACAACACGTCTAGCACAAGAAAACAAGTCACAACTTAACACAACAGAAATTAAAAGCTAGATTAACACCAAACAAACTTTTCACGATAACAGACCGTTGTTTCCTTGACAACGAAGTAAGATACTTGACTCGGTCTAACTATCACAATAAAATCCCACCTAAGGTCCAAGTATAAACCTTAGATGGGTGCAATATAGGGCAAGTATGTTTATATATCGACCCAGGCTGATCCATGTACCGCTACTTCGACTGTTTGAAACATTATCTAGCAAATCGGTTTTGGTGAAAACAAAGATTGAAAACTAAATTACTTTGCAAAGGTAAAATGAATTTGACTCTAGTTGAGAAAGCTTCACCTGGGTGTTGCTCCCCCTAGCTAACAATTATGACTTGAAGAATCGATCGACTGTGTGTGGTTAGAGGGTCATAAACCGCAGGAAAGTCTAACAAGCAACCAAAGTTACCCTCTTAGATTCTAGGTTGAGGAATGAATACGATCCAAGCCACTGATGTGACCTTCTCAACCTATCGACTAAGGATTAGTTAGACTTCACTCTCGAATTGGAGTTCGGACGGCCACCCACAACCAAACCCTAAGTGTTTAATATGAATTAGGAGGTTTGACCTCTAACTAACCTAGACTATGAGGCATAGAATGCCCAAAGAAACCCATCTATAGAAGAACCTCTTAAGTTAAGGGGTTTCTCTAAACTAGGTTAGAATGGCAATTAGATTGATAGGTTTTCACACAACAAAATCATTTCTAGAAGAGCCTCTTAAGTTAAGGGGTTTCTCTAAACTAGGTTAGAATGGCAATTAGATTGATAGGTTTTCACACAACAAAATCATTTCTGAATAATACCTCCACATTCACATTAAAACACATCCCCACACAAATCATTCAGTTCATACAAGCATTCACATAATTGTAGCTAGGGTTTACAAACACCCAAGTGAAATAAGGGACTACTCCATGCTATGAGAAGGGAAAACACAAAAGAGGGAAAAGAAAACTATCATGAAGAGGAAAGCCTTGCTCCTTGTGCTGAAGAAAACCCAAATCCTTACTTGGAGATCAAACCCTAGTTTTCCCTCTTCTTTGGTTCGTCACTTTCTCACTCTAAAATCTGAAGAAGGAGAAGTTTTCTCACTCTAGGTCTCTCCATTTCTTCTCTGACGAAAGTGAGACGATGTCCAATTTAGTTAAATTTTTTCTCACTCCACCACCATCTCATTCCACAATGTTCTTCCTACCAAATAGAAACTAGAGTTGTGTGATTACAACTCACTCTTTATTTATTACACTAAAAACATTATTTTGTAAAAGCAGTTATAAAGTTAAATAAATGGTCAAAGTGCTAAATTAATTTTGCATTATTTGAGATGATTGAGATTCTGCAATGGTATGAGTTAACAAACCAATATTGACCGTAATTTTGAAAATAAAATGCAACTCGAGCACACCTGTTTACCCATAAAAAAAGTAACTCATACTACATCGATTAATTATAAGGGATTTAATGGATTTATAAGACCATCTCAGCATTAAACATTAAATGAGCTAGCTGGGCCTTATTGGTTTGGGTTTTTTACCTAAGTGGCCAAGCTCCATATTTCTGACCTAGCGTTCGTCCGCCCCATAGACGGACGATGCCTCCACCCCCTTGGTATGAAATTCGGCTCCCCAAAAAACTAGGTCTGGAAACAAGGCGGCAAAAATGAATGACAGACAAGGGGGTTTGAATAAGACATTTTGACATAGACCGACTAGGCATGGTCCTACAATGGACCAAGGGTGGTTATGTGTTAAGATTAAAAAAACAACGAGGCATAGGGGTTGAAAGTCAAGTTGGCAACAAGAGTGGTCGCCAACTTGTTAGCCCAAACACTCGTCTTCTCGTGTCCCAACCATGTAGGGAGAGTAAGCATGTGCCAAGTTGGGGGAAGCTAAGGCATAGAATAACCCGTGGTCTCTTTGATGGATCAAAGGAGTTGGCAATGTCTACCGAACCACCTAGAATGAGACAAACATATCAGGGTCAATGTCAAAACCCCAACATGTCTAATAAGGTAGCTCGAGAATGAAAGCATGAAACCCCTTGCAAGCCCACCAAGGTAGGACATGTTGAGCGGATACCATCTGTTATTAAGTTGGAAAATTCAAAACCAATACAAAAAGAGTCTCCCCCCCCCCCCCCCACTCCTAAAAGGAGGGAAGACAAGTAGCATATGGATGGTTGGTCGGGTTTAATCCATGGATGTGTCAGTGGGTGTACACCTTTGGCATGTTGGTGGTTGCCAAAGGGTATGGATATCAGTGACGTATGTCACTCTCTTCAATATTCAAATAAATATATAAATAAAATTAGCAAGTAAAAAATAAAGAGAAAGAAAACAAAAGGAAATCACAAGCCAATCATGGCTAGAAAAAAAGATGTAAAACTTTCGATGTGAGGACCTTGCCATGACTGGTAAGCAATGAGTCATGTTGTTGGGTCATGGAGCCCCTTACACTCATTTGATTGGTGGGTACACCATATCACTTACATGGCATGAGCTGCTGATTAGGAGTCTGGTGTATCCCCTTTATCATCTACGTTACACATCCAAGGAAGCCTACTTGTTGAAAGATATAGATGGGTGATACATGATCAATTGGTCATTGTTAAATATCTCGAACCCTATGTCCCTTTCTTTTGGGACGCAAGGTGTCAATAGGTTCAAAGTTAATCGATCCTCCTCATGGCCAGTATGTCAGACCTTGTCTCACCCTAAAGCATGATATGATACCCTTTTCCATATCATGGCTTGGGTAACCTCTTCATAGCATGGCTTGGGTAGCTAGTCATGTCACGAAGGATAATTTGGATTGTCTCGTAGTGTTAGATTCCCAAGCCAAGTACCAAAGGAGTCTTGATTTATCCTCTCATTGCCGTATCATAGGAATAAAATTAAGGTAAAAATAATTAAGCGTGGCGGCCACCACGTCCAGCGGGAGGAAGAGGGCGACTAGGTTTGATGGCTTCGTTGTACTATGGTCCCGACTAGAGGTGGCAATTAGGATCCAAATCCATGAATCCAATCCAATCCATCCACCAAATTATCCACTTAATCCAATCCATTTAAATCCAATCCATTTGATCCAAATCCAATTGGATTGGTGGATTCACAAATAAATTCATGGATCCAAATGGCAAATTACGATTTGGTACCTATATATTTTATATTTTACATTTTGGTACCTAAATTTATATTTTTATACGAAAAAATCATTGGAAAATTACATTTTAGTACCTAAAAATTTTCATTATGACATTTTAGTACCTAAACTTTTCAAATTTTACATTTTGGTCCAAGCCTTGGATGTCATTTGGATTCATGGATCAATCCACCAATCCATTGGATCCAATCCATTTAATCCATGGATCCACCAATCCAATCCACGAATCTGATCCAATTGCCACCTCTAGTCCTCACTAAGATTAACTATGCTTACCACAAATTCTAAGATTGGTGGCCAAGTACAATGTGGACGAGATAGCTCAACATTAAACATTAAACGAGCTAGCTCAACATTAAACATTAAACAAGCTAGCTGGGCCTTATTGGTTTTGGTGTTTTTATCCTCAGTGGCCAGGCTCGATATACCTGGTCTAGCGTTTGACCGCCCCCATAGCTGGACGATGCCTCCACCCTCTTGGTATGAAATTCGGTTCCCAAAAAACTAAGTCTGGAAACAGGGTGGCAAACTACGGGGTACCAAACCGACGAAAGAGGCTTGGTAGGCTGAGGCCTGAGGGTACCAAGGCAGGCTTGACATGGTTGGTATCAATATACGATGATGCAGGCTTGTTACCCAAACATGAAATTTGGCTAAGTAAAGAACCAAAGGGGTATCAAGCCGACAAGGAAGGCTTGATACCAAACGACATGAAATTTGGCTAAGTATGGAGCCAATAGGGTACCAAGCCGGCAAGACAACCCTGATACCTAAACATGAAATTTGGCTAAGTATGGAGGCACAAGGTACCAAAGTTGAGGGTACCAAGCCGACAAGGCAGACCTGGTACCCCTGGTACCCAAACAAGAAATTTGGCTTAGTCTTGAACCAAGAGGGTACCAAGGCGATAATACATGGCTTGGTACCAAAACACCAAGGGGGTATCAAACCGGCAAGGCAGGCCTGATACCATGACATGAAATTTGCCTAAGTATGGGTATACCAAGTCAGCAAGGCAGACTTGGCAGCCAAGCAAGAGTGTAGCAGGACATCAAAACTGGCTTGGTAGCCAAGCAACAAGGTACCAAGCCCCCAAGCCAGGCTTGGTATCAAGTTATCAAACCTCTCAAAAGCTGAGCATAGAGATGAAGAGTGTCAACCCGATGAGGAGGTAACAAGGTGGCCACCTGGCTGGGTACTAAGGCGCAATGGACCATCCTCATAACCTCTAGACTTATTATGAAATCTTATGGGTAGGGGCTAGTCGGCCAGGATGCCGAGCTAAGAGGTTGTCAACTTGGTGAGGACTTGGTGTAGAGCCCCTAAGGGAGCCATATGGAGACTAAGTCCCAATACGGACTTGGTGGTCCCTAACGGGGTACCAACCCAACAAGGCCGCAAGGTACCAACTTGATGAGATTCTAAGAATTAAGTATGGAGACCAAGCCGATAGGGCTGGCTAGGTAAAACGGGGGTATCAAGCTGGAGAGGTCAAGACTTCGTCATGGAGCAAGGCAAAGACCTTCAACCTCATCTAGTCAAAACAAAGCAACAAGATTCAACAACAACTCTACTTAGCTTCGAGCCCATAAAGTACCAACCATTCAACAAGGCGGGGCAAGAGGCCCCAATGTGATAGGAATCAACACCAAGGCAACGGTTACCCATTGGTCTCCAAAGCGGAGACAAGGGGTCCCTAAGATGGTTGGAGCAGCAAGCTAGCTAGCAATTACCAAGGCAGTTTTACACCTAGTGGCTATAAATAGGAAAAACTAAGATTGTAAAAGGATTCCACAACCAAACATTTGACAACACATGTCAAACTTTATCCTTTCTCTACAATGTAACCATACTCAAAGCCTTTACAATCTGGAGCTCTCACTGAACCTCTATAAGAGTAGGAGCAATGTAACTTAGCTTGTTCCCAAAAACCATCAAAACATCAAACACCCTCGTTCGAACATTGTTCGGAGAGGTTTGAACCGTGTTATTAATCGTCGTTCAAGAAGTCAAGGTGCATTAATTGAGTTCAAACACCAGAGTTTTCCTCGCTGGAAAACAACACCTTAAATGGGCCAAATTTTTACACTAGTATTGTAATAACGATCATGTAGTGCATAATTAAGTTGCGCTGAATGTAGAAGCATAGAACATAAGCGATTTGTTTATTTTGATAAGATGACTTATGATAGGTTCTCAAATCTAATATAGCCAATTAACCATGTCCTATATTTATAATAAGGTTTACAATAGACAATGTTTAGTTACTACATGCTAAACTCTTAACTCATAACTACAAAGATTGTGATAATCATTTTGGTAAACAATTAAATATATAATTTATAATATAAATAACCTGCATTTAGATAGTTCGAATAACTTTTTTTTTATAAAGGGTGATATAGGTTTTTACTTTTTTTGTGATTAAGGTAATAGTTAAGGGATTCGAACTTGAAACCTCATTGTTCTAGACTAGTGGTATTACCACTAGGCCAAGCCCTTATTTGTTCGAATGACTTTATTCACATAAGATAATTCATTATATGCTCTCAAGTTTACTAAAGACAATGTCTTAGTCACTATCTCTTAGCATAAATTAAATGGCTAATTCCACTAGGAAGCCCAAACTATCCTAAAAGTGTCATTTGTGTACTAAACTATTAAATATGACAAATTTGGCACAAACTATGTGTTTCGTGATATTTGTGTCATAAAATATTCAATATGACAAATCTGGCACAAATCATATAGATGGTGACTAAATTTTCTGTTAAATACTAACGGTCAATGCCGATCAACATTAACGAAAAAATAGATCGTACCAGATTTGCATATTGAATAGTTTAGAAGACAAACGACACTTTCTGAATAGTTTGGGCTTTCTAGCGGAATTAGTCTTAAAATAAAAGCATTCAAGTTTCCCTCTTCTTTCCCTTCCAAAAAATGAAAACACCAAAAATTTTCCTTTCTTTTCTTTCCCAAAAAGTTGAAACACACAAACTTCTTTCTTCTTTATTTTCCTAAAAATTGGAAGAAGAAAAAAATACAAATTTCGCTCTACTTTCTCTTACAAAAAGGCTGAAAAGACCAAAAATTGCCATTCTTTTAAAATAATCAAAGTATCAAATACATTACTTTACTATATTTCTATAAGTTAACCAATTTTTTAATGAATATTACTATATTAATGTTATACATCGTGTCAATTAATTATTATTCATTATCAATATTGACGTTGTGCTGATTGTATATGCCTTATTTGATTTTTTGTAGTTTTTTAAAGAAATTAATGTCAAGTGAATTTCTTATTTAGCTTTTGTGATAAAAAAATATTTTTAGATTTTGAACTTTCCTTTATGAAATGAAAAATTGTTTTAGTTAGATTTAGAAGGAAAAAATTAAGTTTGAAAGACTGTAGATTATATAAGAATATAATAATTACTTAGGTCAATGGAGTGAGTTCGAGTTAGTCAGATTTGGGTCAATAAGGATTTAACTGGATTGCGGGTCAATTAGATTCGGGTCAGAATCAGTCGAGTTGCAGGTTGATCGTGTTGCGGATCAGTCGGGTTACAAGTCGAGCGAGTTGCGGGTCGTGGACTTTTAATCAATTCAAGTTGCACTCAAGTTACGGGTCGAGTTGATTCGGCTGGGCACCCTTCCACGTTCCACCATTCATTTTTGCCCCCTCGGGGGGGTTAGATGTTTATGAACCAAATTTACACTATAATCTACAACAAATAAGGCTTGCTGATGGTTTTTTTTTTTTTTTTGTAAAAAGTCTACAGTCTATTAATCAGTGATATCTGTTACAGACTGTTAGTAGCAAGATCATAAACAATGGATTCAGGCATTTACAAAGCACGATAAATTGAACCCCGCTATCTTCCCCGTATCATTTAGTTTATACAAACAAAATTGGCTCTATCCAACCCAACAATTGGAGTGGAGCCAAGATCAACCACAAAGCTGTTGGCACAACCCCTGTATCTGAGAACTACTCGCATCAGGTAATAAGTAAACTCCCGATTTCCCATTGCTCGAGCATGTTAAGTTCAGCTGGGTTCCCGATTGGATGGACTGCAACAATCAGCCGTGAAAATACATAAGATACTGCCCAAATCTTGTTTCTATAGAATTTCTCAGAATTCTCGACGGAAAGAGTATCAAGTGTCTGAAGTAGTCACTTACCGAGCAAAATGCAGGCTGTGTCTTGCAGCTCCACCTACCAGTAGGAACACAAGACAGATAATGGCACCATGAACAATGTTTGTTTGCATCAACTCCACGGAGAAGTGCAGCAAGGCCAACAGCCAATCTGTCATGTGGTTGCAGATCCATTGATTAGATACTGCCACAAGTAGGCATGATATGGGGAATTCTGAGAGACTCTGGAAGTCCAAATGCTTACCCTGCAACTACCAAGATGAGAGACCCGATCCACAATATGCACTGATATGTCTTGAACTTTGATTTCGGCCTGCCAGGAGCAAACCCAGGTGGCGAATATCTTTGGTTAAACCATCCGTATTGGGGCCGAATCAAAAACACAAATCCGAGGAGAAAACCGGTAATAAATCCTCCAAGATGGGCGAAGTTATCAACATGAGGCAGAATTCCAACTGCTAAATTTATTACAATGATGAGCACGAGTGTGATGAAAGCTGCAACCTGAAACAAATTCATACAGGACTACAAGTCAGCACAAAGAAAGAAACACTACCATCCACAGCAGAAGTTCTAACAGGAGGGGAGCAAACTACCTTATTGGCATAGATTGACCAATTAGTGATGAGTTCAGAAAGCATAGCTCCAAGCAGCCCAAATAGCGCACCGGAAGCACCCACTGAGATGTTCCCTTGGATGAAAAGGGCCGATAACAAACTTCCACCAAATCCAGAGATCACATATAGCAACCCAATCTTTACTGTAAAATTCAAGAAACAAAGCCCTAATTATAAACTTTGAATGTTTGCACAAGAAGATGTGTTTCCTATACCATTCGTTTTAGCTATCATTGCAGAAGAGGACCAAACTGTGATTCTACCGAATAGATACTGTTGCAGATAGTTATTTACCACTCCCCAATGCGTGACTTTGCTCGAGGATCTAAACATATATATCCACGCTACAACCTTAGTTTTCATTTGTAAATTGTATATGTACCAGTTGAATGATGGAATAACAATAAACTAGAGAAAGAAATAGAGTTCCAGTCTAGGATTCCCAAGTTACTTCTTCATAATCCAGATTATAAGAAAGGGCAAGACATTGATTTGATACTCCTCCCAACCAAAGTCAAAATTGTGTACAGGCGATGCAACCCAAGTACGAGGCTCTTAAAACTAGTTCGGAGCTCGAATAGCTAACTTATGCAACCAAGAAAAGAATAACCCCAAATCAAAACCAAGCAATCTGTGGGTAAAGAAAGAAACATACCAAATCCGAACTCCTGTTCCAAACGAATGCCGATAACTAAAAGACTCAACATATTGGCCAACACATGGAAAAGCCCTCCATGTAACCAATTGCAACTGAGTAGACGCCATCCCTGGTGTTGTTTCACCACTTTGTTTACATCCAGAGCCCCCATCTTCTGCAGCCTAGAGATGCACAGAGGAATCAAATTAAAATTGTGCAAAATCAGGCAAACGAATGAGGAATCAAATCAGCAAATTAAGGGAAGACTTACGTGGCGGAGGAAGGACCGAGGAGAGGATTCTCCTTGAAGGGCTGAAATGAGAACCTACCCAGGAAGCGCGCGACGCAAGAGTCGGAGACGGAGTTTTTGGGGCAATTGTTGACGTACATAGTGATGATGAACATAACAATATTGGCGACCACGAAACAAGGGATTAGCCAAGTGACCCATTTCTTGAAATGCTTCACTTCCGTGTAACTTTGGGGCTGATGAGCTGGTTGAGCAGCAGCAGCCGCCGAGTCTGAATTCACGGGGTGTATCGCGCCGTTCCCCCGCCGCGAATTGGTCCTGATCTGAATCTCCGAATGCGGAGGAGGAGGGCCTTTAACCATTGCAGACTGCTGCGGAGGAACGCGGCCGGCGGTTGGAGGAAGAGGACGATGATAAGCTTGAGAGAATGGGACAACGGGAGTTGTTAATAAGGGAGAAAATTGAGGAGACGGACGGAGTCAGGAAAGGGAAGCGCTGCGGGGCAGTCAACTGTTTTTCACCCACTTTTTACCTGCTTGGAACTTGGTTTTTATTCTTTTGAACCGAACAGCGACAGCGAGCCCACCACCCAGGCCTGGGCAAGAGGTTTTCCTTTACTTTGCTTCTCGGGCAGACAAACGTGACACCAAAGCAATTGATTGCCGACTCCCGCGTAAATTAAAAAGAGAAAACATGAAAAGAAATATTCTTTGTCGATTGACCGTTGACACAAAAATAAGTTGCAGGAAAGGGTGGTTATGCATTCGGTAAATAGTTCATGGAGCGGGAGCGGGAGCGAGAACAAGAGAGTGTGATTTATAGTGATTTTATATCGAGAGTATGTCGAGAGAGTCATATATTTTTAATTAAATATTATTTTATTCAAATATATTTAAGTTAATATCAAAATTTGTATGTGAATTTCTATTAATTGCGGGTTCCAGCACCCAAATCTATATGAGCAACTAACTTCACAGGGTTAATATATGGGGTTGTTAATTGTAGCCCTACCTTTTATATAATCGCTCTAATGTACAAGTTAAAATTATGATTTTACACTTCTCTTTTTTGTCCTTATTTTTTATGGTTAAAAATATAAAAAATAATCTTCATCATAACAAACACAATTCATCCACCATCGTCGACCGTGACTCTGCTGCCCGCCACCATGTTAAACGAATGAGGGTAACTAGACCAGGGGCTGCCCTACATTCTTCCTATTGGCACGAGGCAGTAGCCGCCGGCCGCTTCCACCATCGCATCATCAGGCAGCCCATTTCCTATTGGATTAGGATGCCACACAAACAATAAAATCAAACCCAATAATGAAAGAAGCATTGAAGTTGACGGGGCAATGGAGGGAGCTTCTTTCAATTGTAGTGTTCCTTTAGGATGGAAGTGGCATAATCAGAGTAAAGGGTTGTGGGACATGAGGAAAACAGGGGAGTAATGGATTTTGGGAATAAGTTTACCCGCCAAGGCCTTCTTTCTGCGCCTTGGTGGATGGTGCCGCTAGGAATCAGAAGAAGGGTGTAGATAGGACAAGGAACGACGACGGCGGTCGGTGGCAGAGGTGTTCAGAGAGGAAAAGGTTGGCACTGTTCGGAGAGGAAATTAGGGATTTTAGAGTTTATTGTTTTGGTGAATTTTGTTTGGTAATGAAGGGTAATATAGTAGTTTTATATTATAGGTTAGGGCGATAATAGTAAAACAAGGGCGACGTTTAGCCATCCAGTTTATTTTTGTCTAGGAGACATTTTATTCTAACAATAGAAATATATATTCTCCATCGCTTCCACAAACCGCCGTCGTCACCACTACCAGCCGCCACCACAAATATCCACCTCCGGTCGTCTTAACCGCATCGATCACCAATCCCCGTAGCGCATAAGTTCCAGTAGTCGCTGCGAGTCTGCGACCCATCGAGATATCACTCGCCAATTTACTAAATCTTATTGTTAGTCCACTCTGTCATTGTTTTATCTTCCAATCCTCGACCCAAAGGCAAGAGCATTGAAAGGCTGATACCGCCATTGCCGAGAACATGCTTGTTACGTTGCTCTTGGATCTCTCTCATTGAATTTTTAGAATGGATATGCGCCGCTTAGTTGTTTTCCTTCATAGGCGATCCCAAACATAACCCCTATATCTATATTTGTATAGTGATGGTGGAAAGAAATCGGAGAATAACGACGACATGACAGTAGAGGGCGACCTGCAGGATTGGGTGGATGCAAGATGAACGTCGACGGCGAATCGGGATGTTTTTTATTTGTAATTTTTTTGTTTTGTTTTGGGATAATTGTGTAATTTTCATTTTTAAGTTAGGTCGATAACAGTAAAATTAGGGTAACGTTTAGCCATTCAGTAATATATGTGTCTCCTCCGAACTTTTCACATATTTAACATTCGGACCAATCATTTAGGTATTTAGCATCGTCGCCCGAACTAGCCCTACACTTTACTAATTTGGCCAAACCAAAGAGTTGATCGTTAGTTTTGACGGTCAAGACCGTTGACTACCGGTCAACCCGCCACATCACTATCCAATCAGCATAAATGAACTTAAAAAATTCCTAAATACCACATAATCCTAAAAATTATTATAATTAAATTAAAAATTAAGACAAAAATTGTGAAAATAAAAATTGAGAAACATAATCATTTATTCTCAACTCTGCATCTCCTCTATATCCAGCCACCACTAGTGCATCCAAATTCCCAAATTGCGCCCCACCACCACTCACCAAACACTCCTACTTTTCGGGTTGGATCCGGTCCTTAAAACCTCTTTCTTGAGTAAGATCGTAAACCCTTATCAACCAATAGGAGAAGGAGAGAGAAAAAGGAAGGTAATCATTGGCTAACTATATAAAAGGTCAGTATTGGAATTATTTTTACAATTAATGGCATTATTAAAGAATAAAAAAGGGGAATCAAATCCCACGTCCCAAACCAGTGCCATCTTTCCCTATATGGAACCTGCAGACTAGGGCTGCAAATGAGCCGAGTCGAGTCGAGTTTTACCCAGCTTGAGCTTGGCTCGTTAATAAACGAGTCGAGCTCGAGGTCAGCTCGTTTATTAACGAGATAAAATCTTAACTTTTATTTGGTACTTCATTTTGTATATCATGATACATATGATTTATTTTGTTAGTTAATCTCATCTTATACTTTATACTTTGTTGGTATCATATATCGTTTAGTTAATAAATTTTAACTACTCCAAATCAAGTTATTTCATTGTATCGAAGCAATCTATGATGCATAATTTCTTTTTAAAGTAGAAAATAAGATATATTTGCTCACATAATCAACGTGCAAAACTTTATATATGGTGAGATATAAAAATTAACAACCATATGAATTAAAATTATAAGATATAGATTGATTCGTCCATAAGTTGGTAATCGAGTTGGCTCTCTAGCCACATGTTAAGACATATCATGAACTCTAAACGAGCCAGCTCACGAGTTTAGCTCAACAAGCCACCGAGTCGAGCTAACTTGCGAGCTTCACGAGCTGAACAAAGGTGAGCTCGTGTTCGGCTCGTTTATTAACGAGCCGAGTTTCGAACGAGTTTTTCTCGAGTCGAACGCCGAGCCGCTCGCGAGCAGCTCGGCTCATTTGCAGGCTGCAGTACCTTTTGTGTCTCTCAACATGTTATTAACACTTTAATGACATGTTAATAACAAGGTTAAATATTTTGAAAGTGTAGTGTATACATTTTAATAACGTTGGTGAAAAACCATAAGACTGAAGGATCCTCTCATTTTCATTGCGTTGTAGTTGCCGGTTAATAAATACAATATTATGGTTAATAGTACTAGCGTTATATGTTAATAATGTATGATAATATTGGTTAAAAACGGTTGAATATTATTAAAATTGTAACTTTAATTTGTTAATAATGGTACCAGAAATATTGACACAAATAAAAACAGTAATAGTATTGTGTTGGTCGGGTAATAAAACGGATATTGACATAGCTTTTTGTGTTTGACGACGTGGTTGGAAATTATTACTATCGTTACTATAAAATGTTAATATATCCAATCAAAATCAATGGAGATAGTTGTCAATTTTGAATCCAAACCAAACGTTCCAACTCTAGGTCTTCCACCCATGTGAACTCCTCAAAATTGTAGCTACGATTCACTACCCAGCCACAAAAGGCAACGATATGCTTAACCAGTTCCTCTCCATACTCTTTGTACGTTGTTCTGTCCCACTCTTGAGACAAGCTATTCATAAATTGGAATGACTTGTTCGTTAAATTAGCATAGTAGACAACAAAGTGGTCGTCCATAGAGAGGGAAAACCCACTGCTATATGAATGATTGAGCAAAACATTAATAATGGTTATTAAAAACTTTGACAAAACAACAAATTAAAATTACGAATTAATGACATAAATGTTAATAATTAGTTGATATTAATGGTGTTGATAGTGGAAACGTTTATACCAAAAGGTTAATAATAGTACACGTTAATGATACCAATGATTAATAATAGTCTATGTTTAAACAATAGATAATGGCGGAAATTAATAATAATGGCTAGGGAAGGTTATTAGTGACAAAAAACTAATAATATGACACGTTAAGCATATCAATGAGTTGTAATATCACACGTTACAAAAAGTTGATTACGGCCTTGAAAATAATAATAATAATAATAATAATAATAATAATAATAATAATAATAGGCAAAGAAACGTTGATAATGGCTGCAGACTGATTAATAGTACACTTTCAAAGGATTACTAATCAGTTTTGTTAATGTTGCAAACAATTACGACCATAAAAAAGTAAATAAAGCAAAACAGCGTGATTAAAAACTAATCCAATAACCTTAATAACAACAAAAACAATTAACAAATAACGGCAAAACCCTAAAACCCATGCATCCAAACCCCAAACACATGCAACGACAAAATATACTAAAGATTAAAAACAAAAACGGGCGATAGAACTACCAGAAGCTGGAAGTCGATGCCGGGAACAACGGGCGGAAGGGAGTAACGACGGACGTATGTGAGCGGTGGACTTGTCTGACGGAAAAAATGGAAGCTGGGGTTCGGCTTTGGTGGAAACGGAAGCTGGGTTTATATTTTGGGAGAATCGGAAACCCAAGCCGACGACAGAGACCGGTGATGGGAACAAAAGGGACGCTGGAGAACGGAGTCGAATGGACGGTCGGAGAACACAGATGGACGAAGAGACAGAGAAAGGGTTCGACTGGGAGGGAGAAAAAAAGAAGGAACGTGGGTTTAGGGTTAAGTATTTGTGCTTTTAAATTATTTATAATTTCCTAAATACCCTTAACAACTAATTATAATAACTCCTCCTTAACTACCTAAATTATTTACATCATGAACCGACAGCTTCACCACCAAGTCAGCGTATGAATCGCTGCTACCTCCCGCCACAAATGGTGACGTTAAGCTCTGGAAAGCAGTGTGGAGCCTCCTGGTACCGGATCGCATCCGGAATTTTGTATGGCTTACTTTCTTGGGGCGGATCGCAACGAACGCCCTTCGCTTGTCCAGAAAGATCACAACCTCGCCCTGCTGTGCTCGGTGTCATGGGCAAACAGAATCTATCACCCACTTATTACGAGATTTTTGTAACACCTTAGACAAATCCCACATCGACAAAGCACGGGAGAGATCCATGGTTCATAAGTAGGAAACCGGCCTTAACTGACAAGACGCGTTTTGGGGTGAAATGGAGGAGTTCTTGTGAGAACTCCGAAGTTAAACGTGCTCAGTGTGGATTACAACAAAGATGGGTGACCTTATGGGAATTCACCTTGAATTGCACCCCAAGTCGAAAAACCGTGAGGGTCGAGGCCCAAAGCGGACAATATCTTGCTCAGGAAAAGGTTCGGGATGTTACAAGTGGTATCGGAGCCTCTCCGCATCCCTCTTGAATGATGGTGGGGCAAACCTCAACGAGTTCATTGAGTCCCAAGGGGGGGGGGGGGTGTATGTGTAATACCTTAGGCAAATCCCACATCGACAAAGCACGGGAGAGATCCATGGTTCATAAGTAGGAAACCGACCTTAACTAACAAGACGCGTTTTGAGGTGAAATGCAGGAGTTCTTGTGAGAACTCTGAAATTAAACGTGCTCAGTGTAGAGTACAACAAGGATGGGTGGCCTTATGGGAAGTCACCTTGAATTGCACCCCGAGTCGAAAAACCGTGAGGGTCGAGGCCCAAAGCGGACAATATCTTGCTTAGGAAAAGGTTCGGGATGTTACAATTTTCCACCAGCCAGCTACTTTTAGGTTCGACATGTCCCCAACAGCAAACAACAACGCTTCTTCTCTTCAGCAGCGGCAGACTGGCTTCAGTACAATTTGGCAGAGAATGAAAGTGGACAACAGGGAATCAATTGGGCAACTTTCTTCAGTGTAACGTTTTGGCTCATATGGAAGAATAGGAACGAGTACTGCTTCAAAGGGGAGTCTTTCCCCCTCTCTGCCCCTTCACTAGCTCAGTCCATTGTTGCTAAAGCAAAACTCTGGCATGAGGCATGGAATGTACACGTTAATGATACCAATGATTAATAATAGTTCATGTTTAAACAATTGATAATGGTGCTGAAAATAATAATAATGGATAGGAAGGTTATTAATGACAAAAAAACTAATAATATGAAACGTTAAGCATACCAATGAGTTGTAATATCACACATTACAAAAAGTTGATTAATGACTGCAGACTGATTAATAGTACACTTTCAAAAGATTACTAATCACCTTTGTTAATATTGCAAACAAAAGACCATAAAAAGTAAATAACGCAAACCAACGTAACTAAAAAACGAATGCAATAACCTCAATAACAAAAAAAAACAATTAGCAAATAACGACAAAACCCTAAAACCCATGCATCTAAAATATCCTAAAGATTAAAAACAAAAATGGGCAATAGAATTACCAGAAGCGACGCCGGAAGCTGATGTCGGGAACAATGGACGGAAGGGAGTAACGACGACGTATGTGAGCGGTGGACTTATCCGACGGCGAAAACGGAAGCTGGGGTTCGGCTTTGGTGGAAACGGAAGCTGGGTTTACATTTTGGGAGAATCAAAAATCCAAGCCGACGACGGACACTGCTGCTGGGAACAAAAGGGACGCAGGAGAACGCAGTCGAATGGACGGCCGGAGAACAGAGATGGATGAAGAGACAGAGAAAGGGTTCGGCTGGGAGGGAGAAAAAAAGACTGAACGTGCGTTTAGGGTTAAGTATTTGTGCTTTTAAATTATTTATGATTCCGTAAATACCCTTAACAACTAATTATAATAACTCCTCCTTAACTACCTAAATTTGCAGCAACCAATCACAATGCTTTAAGATTTCTCCTTAAGAAAGGGGGTTTAAGGACCTAAACTTAGGTCGACGAGTTCCTGGGCACCTCGCTAACATCAGATGCACAATTCAGATCCCCTCCATTCCCGAACATCTCGCTGTTGGAGTCTGTCCTGATGGAGACGGGGAAGTCGGAGCAGGTGCCGTGGGCGGGCGAGGCTCCAATAGAACAACACCGTCGATTGGCGTTGTGGTCCAAGTTGCGCCAGAGACGGAGCAAGAGGAGCCATGCATGCACCTGCGCTTCTGTGGGCTGAGGAGATCGAGGGGCCCAGTGCGGCGGTATGGGCTAACAGTGTCGTCTAGTAATGAGAGCGGGGAGAGATCAATCGAATCAATGGAGAAGGATGTGGCACGATTGGAAAGGCAGGGATGCTTGGCGAGGGTAGAGTGCTGGATGGGAATTAGGGCTTATATGTCTCATTTTTTGCCTTTTCAATTTAATTATAATAAATTTTAGTGATAATGTGGAATTTAGAAAATTTTTAAGCTTATTTATGCTGATTCTGCAGTGATGTGGCCGGTTGATCGTTAGTATATTTGTATGTCCCGAACTTTTCACATATTAAACATCCTGACCAATCTTTTTGATCAATAACATCATGGCCTCAACTATGCATCAGAGTTGCGAAATTGGCCAAATTCGCGATTTGACCGTTATCTTCAACGGTTAAACGCGTTGACTAACTGTCCACGCGCCATGACAGATTATACCACTTAAAAAATTTGATTTTTTCCACCTTTATGTCCTTGAAAAAGGGTACCTTGACTCGCTCCGAATATCACACTTAAATCCCACCTAAGGCCCAAGTATAAAGCTTAAATGGGTACAATATAGGGCAAGTATGTTTAAATATCAACTCGGGCCGATCCATGTACCCCTACTTCAATTGTTTGAAACATTATCTAGCGAAATGAAGTTTATACGAATCTCTACAATCTACAAATGAAAGTGCAAGGCTTGAAAAGTAAAAGGGTTGCAACTCTTGGTGAGAAGCTTCACTCGGGAGTTGTTTCCCCTTAACTAACTACCATGAATTGTGGGATCGAATGCATTGGTGTGCAATAAGGCAATTGCGAACCTTAGGAGGAGCAACAGTGGTTGGAAACCACACTCTCAATCTCTAGGCCAATGAATGCATTATAGGCTACGACAGTAGCCCTCATGGCCTAAGCAAAAGAGGGTTGACTTACCTTCTTCCTCAAACCGGGGTTTGGACGGCTTAATCATAATTGACCTAGTTGTCTAACTTGAGTTTAGAGTTTTGTCTTACATTAACCTAGTTACAAGACATGGAATGCCTAAGAAAACCCAGCTCAATTTGAGCCTCTTAAGGAAAGGGGTCTTCTCTCTAAGCTAGGTTAGGGTAGCACAATAGATTGTCAAGCACATAAAATGCACAATCATCATGAACAATACCTCAAAACTTTAAATTAAACATCACCCACACACAATCATTCAATCCACACAATCAACTACATGGTAGAAGTTAGGGTTCTACAACACCCAAGTGAATAGGAGACTACTCTGTGCTAGAAGAAGGAAGAACCCAAAGGGGAAAAAATCATCATTGTGATGCCTCAATCCTTACTTGTGCTTGTAGAGATCCTCTCTTGAAGAGGAAATTCCCAATTCTTGACTTGGAGCAAACCCTAGCTTCTTCTCCCTCTTGGTTCGTGACTTTCTCTCTCTAGGGTTTCAAGAAAAAGAATGTTTCTCTCACTTTGGGATCTCTTTTCTTCTTTCTTTCAACTCTCCTATTATACACTGATCGAGCCCAGTTTGCGGTCCCAGTTCACGGTCGTGAACATCTTGAGTTCGCGGTCCATGGCTTCAGTTCACGGTCTTACGATCGTGAACTGACTCGGCGTCAGTAACTTCCAAAACCTCTATAGACGCCCTTCAGTTTGCAGTTTGTGACTTCAGTTCACAGTCCTGGCGACCGTGAACTCACAGATTGGACCGTGAACAACAGCTATTTCCTCCTCTTTGCCCGATCCCCGCGCCATTTCTTCCAACTTTCGACTCCGGGGTTGGTTCCACCTGTTAGACTCTGACAGACATTGAAACACAGCAACCCTAGCGTAAAACCACCCTTTGTGGAGCTCAAATGCTGGAAATGCCAAAGAGAAATGGGGATAAAAAGTGTACATTTAGGCCCGAATCACTCCCCCACACTCAAACGTTTGCTTGTCCCCAAGCAAACCATTTCACACAAGGTAATATCTCAACCAAACAAAAGACCTTGGGGACAACTCAAAGGGCACAAAGTGGGGATTCTCAATGGCTATTGGCAATTAACACATGGACTGTTGCAAGCGATACCGACATCCACCACAAACAATATTCGATACCACAAAAAATGGGCAAACAAAAAGTTCTCACCTTGTTCATGAATCAATGCAAGTCCCAACAAGATCACTCATCAACCACAACTAACCATGCATAACATTCAATTCCAAGGAATGAACGAATGGGCAGCAAAGGTCCTCACCGGGGTATGATATGACATGCAAAGCAAGAATGAATCACTCACTCTCTTGACCAGTGGGGTCGTGACCATTTGGTGCAAAAAATGTGCACAATCATTAACTCTCGGCCTTAACGTATCTTCACCATGGCAGAAAAATCTAAATGCTAGAGTTCACGAGATGGTTGTCATCACTAGCTTGTCCGGAGGTCTTATACATGGGCTCAAATGACTGGCAATTGTCTTGGACATGGTGAAACACAACATGAGGTCCTACATCTTCACCTTAAAAACGAAGGTTATATGGCTTCGACTAAGAACCTTCCTAGAAACAATGGCCACTAGCATCGGCCAAAAACCTTACTTCTTCCTTCCAAACTATCACCCATTACGAACCACATTCAAGCACACTTCCTTGGCCTACTCTTGCTATCACATTTCGAACATAGTATTGAAGGAGTTCAACTATAATATGGGTGTTTTAATGGCTTGAGTGCCAAGAAAACCCTCATATTTATTGTTTATATTAGGGGTGAAAAATAATTTAAAAGGGGAAAAATACAAGTAGCGTCACAAATTCGGTTTGTGTGAAATTCCAAACTGAACTGAATTATAATTCGGTTTAGACCGACTAAACCAAATTATAATTCGGTTCGAATTCGATTTGAGGTTTGGGGGAGTTCGGGGACCCGGTATTCATAATTTGACCGAACCGACTGAATGCCCACCCGCACCTCCAATGCCCGCATCATGGATTTGAAGAACATTTTCGGATTGAGAACTTCTATGGTGGTCTCCTTCAAGATGACAAGATCCTCATTGTCTCTCTATGTCAAGGGAAATTGATGAACATGACATTACTCCACCCCAGGTGACCCAAATGCTGGAAGATATGGCGACAAAAGGGTACGATTGGGGCTTGACAAGAAGTGGTAGAAGGGATACCAAAGAGGAGTATGTTCGGTGGAAGCAAGTCCTCCGCTTGCCGTTAAGATTGATCGTTTGATTGATGCTCTCCTTGAAGATAAGAAGCAAGGGAAGAAGACATTGATGTCGTGCGATTGGTGTTCGAGTACCAACCATATGATTTCGGAGTGCCAATTGATGAAGGAAGCCAGCACCCCCGAGGAACAAGTGAGCTTCATCGCTAATGCTAGGAACAACAATCCTTATAGCAACACTTATAACTTGGAGTGGCAAAACCATCCAAATTTCCCATGGTCTTCCCCAAGTAATCCGAGACCCCCCGTTTTCCAAGGATCGACATGGAATTATCAACCAAGGCCTTCCTTCATTCAACAAAGGCCGCAATTCCAAGGCTCAAACTTCCAACAACCATTCCAAGCTAAAGGTTGTCGAGGGTTCTAAGAACAACCCGATTATTTTGCAAAGCTTGAAGACCTAGTGACCACCTTTGTGAGCACGAGCACTCAAAAGTTCGAGAAGATTCACCTATTTATGGATGTGGAAACAACAAAGTTTTCTTCGGTTGAGGTAGGATTGAAAAGACACCAAGCGAGTATTCAAAACTTGGAGACTCAAATCGGCAACCTTGCCGGGATCCTCACCAAGAGACCAAGGGGAGCCCTACCCTCTCAAAATATTGTCAACCCCAAAGATCAAAATGCCGATTGCAATGCTATTCTTTTGAGGAGTGGAAAGGTGACCCCGGAAGTTGTTGTTTAGGAAGTGACCGAAGAAGAGAAGACTCCTCCAACGGGCAATGATCAAGAAGGCTCGGGAAGAGAGGAAGAAGATACTAAGAAGGCTGATGTGAAACAAGAACCTACTTGTGCTTTTGTTCCTTTGGCTGATGTGAAACAAGAACCTCAGCTCGATCTTAGTATAAAGGGAGAGCTGAAAGGAAGAAGAGGGAGCTTCATTTTTAGGTTAGGTTTTCATTTTTCAGAATAAAGAGGATTCTAGTGATAGGTTTAGGTTTCTTCTAGAGTGAGAAAGTGCAAATCAAAGGAGGGAGAAGGAGTTTTGGGCTTGTTCCTAGCTATAGGATTGAAGATTTCTTCATCTCAAGTGTGTCTCAAGCAACAAGGAGGAAAGATTGGCATCACTTCATGATTCTTTCTTCCCCTTTTGTTGTTTTCTCTTTTCTAGCTATGGAATAGCCTACCTACTCACTTGGGTATTGTGAATCCTAGTCTCTCTATGCGTTAGGATGTAAGAACATGAACCTATTGTGTTGATTGAGTGTTTTATATGATATTTGAGGTATTATTCATGAATGATTGAGTGTGCTAGCTTTAACTCAATATTGGGTAAAATTGACCTAGAGGGTGGAAATCCCCTTTTGGTCTAATAGGAAGCTAGACTTCTTAGCCACTTGGGTAACCTCCTTTAGGTCGATTTAAGACCAAAATCTCAAGTACCATATTAGGGTCGTGATTCCACCGGGATTGGTCTCTCCGCCAATCGGGTTAAGTTCTGAGGGTTTGGTTTGCAATCCTTAGTCGGCTAGTCGAGAGGGTTAGGTTTCCTAGCCTATCGTTGTCACCCTTAGCCGAAAAGTTAAGTGATTTAGCTTTCTAACTTGTTGCAACGATTCTCAATTAGCTAACTAAGAGAGTTAGGGATCTCTTTGGTTGATCGCTGAAGAGGGCTAGGTTCCCTTACTATGAATCGCAATCCTTGACCTAACAGTTAGGAGAGCTAGTTCTCCTAGCTTATATTTGTTGATTTTCTTCATTAATTGACTAAGGGAGTTTGTCCCTAGCTAGTTGCACCCACCTCGCGGTATATGAACATGTCCTTCACACTAGAGCTTTGTTTGTCGCTTCTTAGCATGAACTAGGGGGAGCAATACCCGGGTGAAGTCCTCTCGAGTAGAATTCTCCTTCATTTACTTTCTTTGCTTGTTTAGTTTGTAGTTTTCTTAGCTCTTAGATTTAAACCCAAAAACCGTTTGCTAGATAACGATCTAAGCGATTGAAGTAAGGGTACATGGACCGGCCCGGGTTTGACAATTAAATACTTGCCCTATACTGCACCCGACTAGAGTTTAAAAACTTGGGCTCTAGTCGGGATATAATTCGCGAGGTAGTTTCGTGCGAGTCACGAGTGAAGACATCCATTCATTTTTTTGCACACATGAGAACTAAACCTTTGCACTATCCTAATGCATCTCTCAGTCATCATCATAGGACACACTTGATCACATGCCACAATTCAAGGTCAATGCCAATAAACACAAGATTCTCCCACAAACCGCCAACTTTGATCATGCAAGCATTGCTTGGAGCCCTCAAATTTTTCAAATTTGGGCATACATCAAGACTCTCAACATTCAATAACACTCACACAAGCATAATAATAGACTACCCCCCCCCCCACCACCCACACTTAAGCTCTACATTGCCCTTAATGGTGTAAGATAGGGCTAGAACGATGTTACCGCATGGCTTGGTGAGTGAAAGTTGGAATTTTTCCGGGGTAGGAGATTTGAGCTTCAAGGAGAAGAAAAAACATACACACAAACACAAATACATACTCGCTCGAGGGGAGGTTATTACACATAACAGTACGATAGTAGCAGTAGTTGTTCACACACACCAAATAAAAGAAAGAAAAATAAAATAAAATAAAAGAGTTCAGAGTTCCAAGTGGAGAAGTGGGGCGAAAGAAATCGGCTCTGCCACATGTCTCACTCGTCAGCTACCTCTCACGGGTTGAAGGTCGTTCCCCATCATCTGGAAGGATACCCTGGCGACGGGCCATCCGCTCTGGCAAATTGGTGGTTCGGTCAAGCCGAGCAGTGACTCCCACAATGTGGGTCTCGAGGCGATCCATCCTCTCCACAAGGTGGTCTCCGGAGGTGAAAGGACCAACTCCGTATGATGCTGGTGGTGGTGCAAGGCGCGGGAGTGCGGGACGCCGGCGGAGGCAAGGAGCTCTAGCAGGTGGCTGCTCTGGAGGAGGGACATGTGGATCGGGCTCCAATGGAGCCGGGTCAACTGTCGGCCTCATAGCCATTGATGGTTGAAGTCCGTTGAGGTACTCGATCCCTCGCTCTCCTAGAAGCACCATCTTCATGTTGTAGAGAGTCTCCACTGGGAAGGGCTCGGTCCGACCAATGATGGAGCACCTCTCCACGTCCACGTCAAAGTACCGGGCTAGTCTCGTGATGATGCCCCCCATATGCATGGTGTCCACCCTGTTCCACCCCAGACACCCGACGAAAGAGGTAGCCACCATCTCTCCTAGATGGAGCGGCTTGGCAGGATGCCTCATAGAATGGAGGGAAATCAACCCTCTATTGGTGATCAGGCGGCCCGCTCACAAACTAGGGACGACGAACCAGGTGAGCAGAGTGTGCATAATCCTCCATGGGGTCCACAGCTTCACCACATTAGTGTGGCCAGCCTCGAACTCATCATGCTAGTGCTCAGGGCGGCAGAGGGCCTGGAACGTGGCCTTATAATGGAAGTCGACGGTGTACTGCCGCTCCATCATCGTCATGTATGTGGTGTCCAACACCATGGCCTGGGTGAAGGCATCGTATGTTAGCACCTGCGGCTGACCTCCAAGCATGAACTCCATGTGGGGCCGACTCCTCTTGCTCTTCGGGACGACATGAGAGAAAGTGGAGTAGAACTCCACGCAGAGCTCTCGGTACATGAGCTCATCCATCTTCAGCAAGTGCCGCCACTGGGGGTGACAAGCAACCCCCGACAACGCAGCCCGACACATGAACATGGTAAACATGTCCAGTGAGGTCCAACTAGACTTTTCATCTGGTAGGCAAACTTCACCCCGAACCGCTTGTGGTTCACCAAAAATCGGATGTACCTCATGATCCAAATTAAGCATCCTGCAAAACAGAAAACCATGCACCATACGTGGAAACAATTGTCAATCTCAACTCATTGGGAGGAAAAAAGAATCCCTCCACATTTATATTTCCACTACGGGTCCATGCCATTTAGAACAACTAAGCTCGAGCACGCCGAGGCATGGTTCTAGGTGCTTATTGGTTTATCCACACAAAAATCTAACCCAAACCATGCCACGGTGGCTACCATCCACCACTCAAACATAGAAATTCCACATTCATTCATAATTTCTTCACTTGGTGGGCAAATTTCACATTTGAAAACAATTTTCTTATTTCTAAGTTCAAAATTCAATTCACTAAATTATCCTCACTTCACTACCTAATCCGATTCTCCACAATTAACAAAGGTAAAGTTCAAAACAAACCTAGAGACTCAAGTAGGATCGTAGGGGAAGTGAGGATAGGGCGAGGGAGACGAAAATTTGCACAAAAACAGGCTTGAGAGATGTCACCGGAGCTTTGTCGGAAGCTCACCGGGGACTCGTCGGAGGCTCGCCGGTGGTGGCCACAAAAAAAATCAGCTCAAAATCTCCCCAAAATCGCAGTAAAGGCTGTCCTTGACAAGGGAAGATTGGGTATGTGATTGGTTTTGGATTTGGATCACCGAAAGTTGACAAAAATGGCAAAATTCATCAGAAAATCGGAGTTTTCCGGCGAATTTGAAAGTATTCCGATGAATTTGGGTCGTGAAATGAAGAGAAGGCGTTCACTGCCCTTTTATAGGCAGACCGCGAAATTCACGGACGTGTTTGCCAGCTCATAGTCGTTAAGACCGTGAACATAGCTCGCGGACCACGAACTGGGGTGAAACGGTGGGTTTCACAACACGTGGAAGCACCGTGGTTCACGGAAGTGTTTGGCAGTTCACGGTCAATTAAGACCGTGAACTGTAGTGAAAACAGGGCATTTTCGGAAGATTTCGACTCGACCTACTCCACCGTGCCTACTATCGATCACAACACAACTCAAAACACCCAATCATAATGACCTGACACGGCGATACCACTCGAACACTTGAACTTTTCACTTGATACAAAAACAAAAATAAGGAAAAGAAAACAAACCTATGTTGGGTTGCCTCCCAACAAGCGCTAAGTTATTGTCATTAGCTTGACAGTTGCGGATATATCACACCTTTGAACGTGACACCAATGAGAGTGGATCCACCACGATCTCGGGGCGAGGGATGTTGCCTCCCAACCTAAGCTCAATGGGATGTCCTTCTTGGCCGATGATTTTCGCTTTTCCCTTTTCCTTCCTCCGGGCATTTGCGTGATTCATCCTTTCCCTCCAAGTTCTCTTCCTTCCTTCTTTGGGCATGATACCCTCCTTGCTTTCCTGCTTCACATCACCACGAGGAATAACAGTAATAGTGGGGTGTACCTTGAGAGGTTCTCCTCCACTTGCATTCTTATAATTTGATTCCACTTTCTTCACATCCTCACTTCTAGGCTTAGGTTCAATTCCAAGAGTAATTCTCTCCTCACCGCCCATCACAATCAAAGTTCCCTCATTTACATCAATTAACGCCTTGGCGGTGGTAAGGAAGGGGCATCCTAGTATGAGTGGCATTTTCGAATCTTCACTTATATCAAGTATCACAAAATCCGTCGGATTGCAAAATTTTCCCACTCGTACTAGCACATCCTCCACAATACCCCTAGGACTAATGACAGAGCGATTGGCCAATGTGACACTAAGCCTAGTAGTCTTTATTTCACCTATGTCTAGCCTCTTAAAATCTTAAATGGCATCACATTTATGCTTGCCCCTAAGTCCGCCAAGGAATTCTCTATGTGATCACTACCGATGCAGAGAGGTATGGTGAAAATACCTAGATCGGGTTGCTTCTTGGGAAACCTGTTGAGGATGAAGGTGGAGCACTCCTCCTCCTCACCTAGGGTGACATTGGCAAGGTATTAGAACTTTGGCTTCTTGGAGAGAAAACCCTTGAGGTATTTCGAGTACCGTGGCATGTGGGCCATTGCTTCAAGGAAGGGGATGTTGAGGTGGAGCTTTCTGAGCATCTCCATGAAACCTCCACATTCCGCTTCCAATCTTTCCTTGTGCATCCTGGTGGGAAAAGGTAAGGGTGGCGTGTACTCGGCCTCTGGAGGTGGCGTTGGCGATGCCTTCTTCGCCACCTCGTCTCTTTTCTCCCGAGGTCTCTTCTTCTCCACCCTTAGGTAGAGGGTCTTCCTTTTCGTTCACTTCTTTGGCAACGACCTCCTGAGTCACCTTCCCACTTTGCAATTTCATTGCATTCACCCCCGCATGATCCTTAGGGTCTGCAATGGTTTGAGAGGGTAAAGCTCCCTTTGGTCTCTCGCTGAGGATCCCGGCAAGATTGCCGATTTTCAGTTCCAAGTTTTGGAGGCTTGCTTGATGATTTCGGATTCCCGTCTCAACTGATGTAAACTTGGAGGTTGCCACATCCATGAATTGCTCAATCTTCTCGAACTTCTGAGAGCTTGTACTCACGAAGGTGGTGACTAAATCTCTAAGTTTAGAAAACTTGTCGACTTGTTGTTGTTGTGGAACCCTTAACCACCTTGTGCTTGGTATGGTTATTGGAAGTTCGAGTTTTGGAATTGAAGCCTTTTTTGGATGAAGTTGGCCGAGGTTGATAGTTGCCCGTTGGATCTTGGAAACCAGAGGTCTTGGATTGGTAGGGGAAGACCAAGCGAATATTTGATGATTGCGCCATCCGAGGTTGTAGGTGTTGCTATAAGGGTTGTTCCCTCTAGCATTGGCAATACAACTCACTTGCTCCTCGGGGATACTTGTTTCCTTCATCGCTTGGCAATCCACAATTTCATGATTAGTGCTAGAACACCAATCACAAGACATCACTGCTCTCTTCCCTTGCTTCTTGTCCTCAAGGATTACCTCGATCAACTTGTCAAGCTTAGCTTCAAGTGGAGCACTTGCTCCAACACTTCGCACTCCTCTTTCGGTGCTTCTCTTACCACTTCTTATCAAGCTCCAATCGTATCCCTTGAGATCCATGTCTTCGAGCAACTCGGTCACCTGAGGTGCAGCCATGTTCATCAACTTCCCTTGGCAAAGAGAGTCAATGAGAATCTTGTCATCTTGGATGAGACTGGCATAGAAAGTCTATATCCGAAATCGCACCTCGAATCCATGGTGAGGGCATTGGAGGAAGTAGTCAGAGAATCTTTTCCATGCATCCCTCAACATCTCATCTTCCTCTTGCTCAAAGTGAGTGATCTTCTTCCTCCACTCGGACGTCTTGGAAGGAGGACAATATCAGGTCATAAACTTGTTGAGCAAATCGTCCCAAGAGGTGATGGATGGAGCCGGTCGGTTGTTGAGCCATCGGAGCCCCTTCCCCGTAAAAGAGTAGGGGAATAGCCTCAGTTGCAATGCCTCCTCGGGGACACCATTTATCTTCAGGCTTCCCACAAGCTCAAGAAACCTTTGAACATGCTCTCGTGGATGTGATTACCCATAGTTATCGGTTCTTCCTTAGCTCCAGCTTCCTCATTTTGGTTCTGGAGCGGATTAGCACCTCGATGTTGATTCCCTGCCATCTCAACTTCAACTTCTACTTCAATTCATCCAAATCTGGGACCAAATTGTTGTCTCCTCTCTTCAATTCTCCTTCTTCCTTCCGCTAACTCTCTCTCTCACGAGCCAAAAGTCGGAGATTGCGGTTGAGATCCTCATCAACTGGCGCTAAAGGTGTCGGATTGCTCCGGGTCATACACCTCCCTGCACACACTTAAAAGAACCACAACATGTCTAGCACAAGCAACACTTCACACAAAAAAAACTCAAAGTAAAAGCTAGATTAACACCAAACAATCTTTTCAAGATAACGGACCGAAATCCCTGCAACGGTGCCAAAAAATTGACTCGATCCGAATATCACACTTAAATCCCACCTAAGACTCAAGTATAAACCTTAAATGGGTGCAATATAGGGCAAGTATGTTTAAATATTAACCCCAGCCCATGTACCCTTACTTCAATAGTTTGAAATATTATCTAGCGGAATGTTGTTTGTGAAAATCTCTACAATCTACTATTAAAAAGCAAGACGTGAAAAGTAAAAAAGGGTTGAAAATCGTGGTGAGAAGCTTCACCTAGGAGTTGCTTCCCCCTAACTAACTACTATGAACTGTGGGATCGAATGAATTGGTGTGCAACAGGCAATTACGAACCGTAGGATGTGCAACAATGGTTAGAAACTGATAATGATGTAATTGCACATGTTTGCACCCCTAGTTCTTATCCGTTTGCGGGGTGTAGTAGTGTATTTTTGGCCTATTTTACGCCGGGTTGTGCTACTTTGTCATATTTCAGTTCCCAGACGTCGAAGAAAAGGCTAAGCATGAATTTCGGGGCATTTGGAAGTCATTTGGTCGAGCTGGGGCCAAAGCACGGGCAGGAGGCCTGAAGAGCACGACCATGTACACCAAAAAGCACGCTATTGTTTTTATTGCCGAGAGTTGAACTGATGAGAAGGAAAAGCACGGGCTGGACTAAACTAAAACACGGCCGTGTTCCTGGACCGTGTTTTTTATGCCGAGGCTTGATCCAAGATGCCTAGAGAGAGAAAGTGACGAACCTGACTCTACAAGTGCCATAGATCGATCTCCATCACCATTGGAGCCTGGCTTGAGCTTGGAGAAGACCTGATTGAGCGCCAAAAGCAGATTATCATCCTTCACAGTATGGTTTCCGCATCTGAGCTAGATATCCCATCTCTCTCTATGGAGTAGTTTTCTTATTCACCTGGGTATGAAGAACCCTAGATTTGTATGTTAGGTCTGATTGTATGAACCCAAGTACAGATTCATTGGTATGATTATGTTCAATTGAGGTTTGATTTGTTGAATGGCATGAATCCTGATCAAATTCATGTTGTTTCTGCTTTAACCTAGAAAGAGAATATCTGTCTAGGTTGATAGAGCACCCTTGATTGAAGGTATTGAATTGGCGACTTTAGTCGAGGAGCCAATTCACTATTCTGTACCGAATTTGCTTCGGTAGTGGAGGTTTGGTTCGTTAGGGCCTCAACCTGTTTACTCCGGTGGAGGTTAGTCGCCCGATGGGGACTCAGATTGAGAGGGTCTGGAGATCTTTAGTCGAGACTTCAAACTGTTTAAGAACCTTCCGCAGTATAACTATCATTGAAATTGAACTTGGTGAATTACAATCTGGCTTAACTACAGTCTAGGGGGAACCATATCCAGGTGACCTCTCTGGACTTGAAAACAACCGTTTAATTGCTTTCTTGTTTGCTTGTTTGGACCTGCATTAAAGTTTCACTCCTAAATAATAAGAACTCACGGAGTAGTCATCACATCTAGGACCCGGGTTGGCATTAAAACCCAAACCCGCTATACTACGCTTTAGGAAGTGGTTACACTTTGCCATTTTCTAGAGTGACGGTAGGAGCGAGCAAAGTTTTTGGCGCCGTTGCCGGGGACGGTTAGGTTGTTGAAGAAACGTGGATTCTATTAATTTAGCTTTTCGTTTTAGCATTGTTTGCTTGTCACACTTGTGCCTTCACGGGTTTGCTTGCTTGACTGTGTGCAGGTAGTGCATGACCCGTAGCCAGTCACTGATGCATGCACAGTGGCATTCACGACCTTGAAGGAGAAGCTCACTCAAGCTCCTATCATGGTTGTTCCAGACTGGTCCCTACTATTTGAGCTGATGTGCGATGCCAGTGACTTTGTTGTTGGAGCTGTCTTGGGGCAGAGGCGAGATCAACACTTCCGAACTATCTACTACGCCTCGAAGACCCTAAATGATGCCCAAGAGAACTACACCACCACGGAGAAGGAGCTGCTCGCGGTGGTGTTTGCCTTCAACAAAGTTTGTCCTTATCTGGTCTTGTCCCGTGTGACCGTGTATACACATCACTCCGCAATTCGATACCTGATGAGCAAGGCCGATGCCAAGCCTAGGCTCATACGATGGATCTTACTATTGCAGGAGTTCGACATCGAGATTCGGGACAAGAAGGGAGCAGAGAATGTTGCAGCCGATCACCTCTCCTGGTTGGACGCACCTCCTGCGGACAACCTCGAGGAGGAGATCAACGACTCCTTCCCATATGAGAGACTGATGATGATGTACTTGGTGGAGAGTGTTACCCCTTGGTACTCCGATTTTGCGAACTATCTGGTGGGCCGGCAGCTGCCCAAGGGAATGACAACTCACACCAAAAGGAAATTCTTCTCCGACCTAAAGCATTACTTTTGGGATGACCCTCATCTCTTCAATATCGGAGCTGGCGAGATCATCCGTCGCTGTGTTATGGAGAGTGAGATGGAGGGCATTCTATCTCACTGTCATGAAGGACCTACTGGCGGTCACCACGGAGGAAACCGCACAACGAGGAAGGTGCTACAATCAGGCTTTTACTGGCCCACGCTCTTCAAGGACGCAGACGCCTTCGCACGCAGGTGCGACCGATGCTAGAGGTCAGGTAACATCTCTGCCCGTGATGAGATGCCCCAGAATGTGTTTATAATTTGTGAGATTTTTTATGTCTGGGGTATCGACTTCATGGGCCCCTTCCCTCCATCTTTTGGTAATACCTATATCCTGGTTGCTGTTGACTACGTCTCTAGGTGGGCCGAGGCGCAAGCTTTGCCCACTAATGATGCTAGACGTGTTTGTGGTTTTCTGAAGCA